AACAAACACTTGTCTTTGTGCCAACGTGTCCAGCCTCCCCCTCCCACCTCTTGCCAATCCCAGAGGGCAGACAGCGTAGCTCTCTTATGTAAACTCGGCAGCTTCCTTGTTGGCATGTACACACTCGGTATCCATGCCAACGTTGCTCTGGTGATCATATAGGAATGATTGGAAACAACCTCAGATGAAGGGTGGTTGTACCTACAACCTTCTTCGTACTCATCCCGACTGTCCAAACATCCCCGATGGCTCTGATAGTTGTTGTTCCTCTGAGTAATGACAGGAGGACAGAGAAATCCATGACATCCACTCATCAAACTGTAAATCAGGAATATTTGGGAGGCCCACCCAAGCCTCTCAAACCACATGCAATACAAACATCCCACCCATTACTTTGTGTACTCTATCTGGTACAGTTAAGACTGGGTATTTAAACTACAACAACACAGCTGCATATCTGAAACGTGGCTAACAAATGTTGAAATTGTTCTTCATTGCTTTAATTTTTAAGTTTACATGATCTCATCTTCACATTTTCATAAAATTTCAGTTTTCAGAATTCGTTGTTGCTCGAGCAGTTTCCTCAGATCTGTTTGTAATTCTGTTTAAACTGAATAAACAACTTATTTTTTTACTTATTTCGCCTTGGATACAGTTTATATTACAAATAAGTCATGGAAAATGTTCAAGCCCTAGCTACGGTTATCATAACACTCATGACGTACACCCACCATTCCATTCTTCCAAAACTTAACGGCCCACACCAAAACATCTGAACTCCCCGTTGCCTGACATCTTGTTTTATTTTTGTTGCTCCTTCCATTCCTTCTGTATTTAAAAATAAATAAACATCTCCATGATGTCAGTGGATTATGCTATTTCAGATTACTTTTTCCACAAACCTGTCTGTTAGGTCTGAATCAGTCTCTATTCTAGTTAATCTAGTGATGTGTTGGCGCTACCAGAGAGCGTGCCTGTTCAAACCTGTTTTAGCTCTTATCTTTATTTCGTTTTTGTGGGATGAAGCACCTTTATGGTAACAAAATGTCAGATCTTATCAGTATAGGTCTGGTCAGGCTGTAACGTTTGAAGATCTAAATGCCGACTCTCACTCGAAGGCGGTGTTTTCCTGCATCCCTGTTTCTAAAAGGGCCAGGTGTGTTGGAACTCCCTACGTAAATAATGGGAAGGTGTGAGGACAGATGCTTTGCATACCAGACGCACTGATCTGAGCAGCTGATCTCTGAAACTTTCTGGCAGTTGTCCAAAGTTCATCATGTACAGAAATTCTTAGTGTTCTGTTTTAAAGTCCTGTTTGATCAAAACCAGCAGTGCATGGGCTACATTAGTCATAGTGGTGGTTAGCGAAGTGCCCATGAAATGTTTTGATGGCAGATTGATGCCTTGGGAGGAAACTGAACAAAATTCCTAATTTTAGCCGTGAAAACATAAATTCAGTTGAAGGGGTTGGGGTTTTTTTTCAGAGTTTTTCTTGTAACGTTATCACTAGAGCCCCGCACAAGTATGTGCACCTGCTTTTTTGCAGATTTATACCTCAAAATGAAATTCTCTTCCATCACTGTGGCATATGACAGGCTAGTGCTGCGATTAGATGATGTGGCTGAGAGGCACTGAGATTTTTAGGTTGATATATATTTATTTTTCATGAAAATGCAAATAGCAAAAATCCCTGGGCTCAGAAAGGGACTTGCAAGTGCATTTTATATCACAGACTGCATGGAATTAAAGTCTGATGAAAAATGAACCTATTCACCACTTAAACGGCCTTCTTTCAGTGTTTTTATGGTCAAAAATCACTTTAGTAATTTAAATAAAATCACCATCTAATCACTTTGAGCTTCTGTGTTTGTTAAAAATTGTACAACATTACGGGAATAAGTGCCGTTTAAGTCACAATATGCATTGTTTTTCTGCAATTAATCTAATTAATCATTTTTGAAAGGTGTGAAACACCAAAAAGTATTTTTTAATGATTATTTCTGATTATAATCGGTCGCTCTGAGTTTCACACGCAGGCTGAACATGTAAACAGTCTCCTAACCCTTTCTCCTGCATTAGCTTCTGGTAGAAAAAAGACGGTGAAACTCTAGGATTGGAAAATCCTGACAGATCTACATCACACTGTCACATTCATGGACTCATCCATCTTGACTCGCGACATGGAGAGCTGTTTTTGGTTTAGCGTCCAGGAAACAGCACAGCACCTCTCAGCTAGGAGATGCTAACCATTAGCCACTTCACCACACGGCAGAAGCTCCTTCAGGCTTGACTTATTTGACGAAACATCAGTGTCACCAGAGTCAGGTTGATGTTAGCCAATCAGAGGAGAGATGTCCAAATATCAGAAAATAAGACTCCAAATCCTGCCGTCTGAAGCTCCGCTCTGCTGCATTCTTCTAGTTCCTGAAACAAGCACATCTAATCTCCCCCAGTACAACTTACAAGGCATTTATTCCTACTAGAGCAGGGGTGTCAAACTCAGTTTTGCTCAAGGGCCACATTGAGGAAAATCTAGTCCCAAGTGGGCCAGACCAGTAAAATTAAAGTACCCGGTATGTATAAATTAAAAACTGCTTCAGATTGTTTTCTTTGTTTTAATACGATCAACATAAAACAAGGCTGGAGCCTGAGGACGGTGTATCCAAAATAGTTAAAGCACAACATCACTATTAATAATAAAACACCTGAAGTGTATTTGAAAATGTGAAATACAAAACAAAAAACCCAAACAATTCCTCAGCAATTCAAATAATTGATTCACGGATCACATGACTACATCAGTTTCATGCATGTCTTTGACTCCTGACACCTGATATCTTTTAGCTTTCACCAGCAGTTTAATTGAAAAATGAAAGCTTTTTTTTCAGACTTTACATTGAAAAGTCTGAAAATAAGGTTTACACAATCATCTCGCGGGCCAGATTTAAACTGTGTGCGGGCCTGATCCGGCCCGCGGGCCGCATATTTTGACACCCCTGTACTAGAGAGTTCTGCAAATGTATTGATTAAACAAGTGAACCACACCTTTTAAACGTTTGTAAAACACAAAAAAGATGAAGGATTTGTTTAAACTTAATTTATTTAAACTAGCAAAACCTTGAAAATGATTTGTTTGCTTTCCGTTGGGATCCGATTTATTTATTATCGTTCTGATTTCGTGTGGTTACCATGCCAACACGTGTTAAGAAATAAAAGATGAAGCTCCCAGTTTCCACATTTATATACGTGCGATCTTTGTGCTTCGTGTAGGACAATTAATAAAATAGTAAAATGAAAGTCATGTTGTTACAGTGAGTAACTGAAACACACTCGAACATGTCTAAGCAGTTCACCAAGGAGAGAACCATCTGGTTGTAAAATTTTAATTCCCTATTAGCAAGTCAGCCTTGTATTTGGAGATGAGTCTGGCTTTTTCTTGTGTTTTATTCAAGGTTTTCAAAAAGGGGGAAAAAGAAAAGAAAAAGCAAACAAAAACCAGGAGTAAATTATTGAAGCAAGCTGACACGGAAGCAACTTTTAAATTGCTAATGAGTTCAATTTCAAACATGCGACACTGGAGGCTGTGGGATTCCTGACTGCTCAATGACTCATACAGGAAGTAAAAGTAAACCCCATACCTTACTCTTGTAAAAATAAGTAGCCATGAATAATGGACCCAGATATATTTAGGACTACACATTTTCACTTTATGTGCTGAGTAAATTGTACCCTTTAAATACGGGGGATTACTTGGACAATTAGATATTGGTTTAGTCCAAAATTATGCTTCATCATTTAGTTTCAGTCTGACTCCTGGCTATCTATACTTACACCGCTGTAACATATTATTTTGGCAATGACTAACTAAAAATGCATTACTCATTGCATGAGTAAGTGTGTGTATTATTTAGAAAGGGAGTTCAGAGTTGATGTCCTACTTCCCTTGTAGGCAGTGCTGAGTCAGATCAGGCATATGCGATTACACATGGGTGCCCATCAGCAGTCTAACAGCCTCTTTTCCTGTTTCAGCCACCAAACTTCTCTACAGTTCAGCTTGTAGCCAGCAAAACCACCCGTTCTGCCTGAGCTGGGCACTCAGGCGATGTGCCGTCCTTTATTATCATTCTCATCATTAGCTCCTGGCTCTTTGGGTGGATCCATGAGTCAGCGCAAACATATTCCTTGACTCTAATGTATTCACCTCCTCCTAGTTTCCGGCATTGGAATAAACGATGACTGCCAAACTAGGTGAGACTTGCTGCTTTTGGACGAATAATGCTGTAGTGTTATTGTGGCCACAGCTATGTAAACCTCTGTGGATGAACATTCATGTTGGCCTTCAATTAGCTTGTAGGGCTGTGTTTTGTTTTGCAATTAAAACCTGGTCAGTGGTTTTAGTAATTATTTACTGGGTTGTCCAGTAATCAGAAGGTTGCAGGTTCGATCCCGGCTCTGGACAGAGAATTCTGCCTTCTATCTCACCATTTATTTTCAGTCACATGCATAACAATTGTATGATGGTTTACTTTAGGTCAAAATGTAGATCTGAGAGTTTGAAAGTAAGTAACTTGCATTTTAACATGATAAAAAATAGATGGGAAAATGCTCGGATTAGAAAAAATCTTTAAGATCTGTACGTGATAATGTCAAAGTAGCATTTACGGACTCACCCATAACTGGCTCACGATGGGGCGGCTGATTCAGCTTCCAGGAAATAGCAGAGCGCATCTCGGCTGGCTGAAGCTAACTGTTAGCATTAGCAACTCCACAATTCAGCTGAACTCTTTCAGATTTGTGTTGTTTGTGGACATAGAACATCAGTGTTGCAAAGTGAATGGAGTCAGTAGGGTTGCACTGCTGTTATCCAATCAGAAGTGAGATTTCTGAATGTCAGGGGGAAAGAAATCCAAACCAGGTTATGTTGTGCTCCCCTCCTCCACTAACTTCTACTTCCTGAAACAGGAGTGAAAGAGTCCCCCCCCCCCCCCCCCCCCCCCCCCCCAGAGTTTGACTGACAATGAATAAATTTATACTAGAGACCACTGCAAATGTTTTGGAAGAAAGAGAGTGAAGTTGGTCTTTAAATACAATGAATAATACACATTTCCTTTGAACATAACATATAACTATGAATATTACTAATAACATTTGAGAAACTACCTTAGTGGAACTAGTTAACATAACTTGATTAGGTAATTTAAACATGTGATTCCTGTGCAAACAAACATTTGGATGCAAGTCTAACTGTAGCTTTTTACATAGTTTAGACTGAGCTTTTAGCATGTCAATGCTAACAAATAGAGAACATTTAAGAAGGGCTAATTGGTAGCACATTTATGAATAAAAAAATGCTTTGAAATAAATGTAAGAAAAAAAATACTTCGCGTCTGGTGTGTTGATACCTCATTGAAAGTTTGCTAACAGATAACCATTCAAACATATTATCTATTTAACATGAAGCATATTTTGAGAGCACGCTGCAGCCTGGTCCTACCAGAAAGCTATTAAGCTTTAATCCCACTTGTTGGAAACTCTATCTAATATCTACTTTGCCTACAAGCCCAGTGGACCACTCGCTTGTCCTCTGCCTGTAGGGGCAATAATTTTGCTGATGATGACTTGAGACTGGCATTTATGTTGTTGTGAAGTCAAGAGACAGAGATTTTGACAAACGTGGAACATGGGAAAAAAAATCATTATAGATGACAGCACAAGAATATTTGAGGCTTGACATGTGCTACGTAATTTATATTCAGTTCTCAAATGTCTTATGATTGTCAAGAAATTGCACTGCATTGATGTTTTGTGCAGAACTAGTACATCTCAGAGCCTTGATGCAACTTTTCTTAATGCTTGGGAAAATATTAATTTTTGAACAGAGAAATATGTTTGAAATTAATGATATTGCACATGGAAAATGTGTCTGTGTGAAAATGAAATAAAGGCTATAAAAAAATTGCACCTGCAATTGAAAAGAGCCAGGTGGTTTGAGAAGAGGCGTTCCAGATACACCGGAGAGTTAATTGAAGGTGTGGTTTACTAATGTAGTCAATGCATTTGTAGTGCTCTCTAGTGTACATCAATGCCTGGTGAATCATTAACCCTCCCACTGTCCTAATGGGTGTGACCCCGCAAGGAAAGTTGACTATTGAGCAGGGTTGATGGTTTATCCCTTGGGACCATGTGGCAGGGGTGAGGAGTGAGCACCACTTCACCCCTGCCAAGTGGACCTCAAGGGATAAACCATCAATCCTGCTTTATGGTCAACTTTCCTCACGGTGTCACCCATAAAGACAGTGGGAGGGTTGAAAAATAGAAAAGCTTTGATGCTCCTGTTGTGAGATGCAGAATTTATCTGGCAGATGGGCTAGAAACAGCAGGACTGTTCATTATTATTAATGATATGCACACACCGCGCTTATGATTGGCTAACAGAACACGTCCATTCATGTTGCAAAGCCACTATCACAAAGACAATCTCTGATCGCTCTCCTCGCTTCAAAAACATTTTAAAAAGCCTTCCTGTGGATGGGCACAAGCCAAGATGGGTGGGACCCTGAATGCATTTTAACATTGTGACATAGATATGTGATGATTTTCAAATCCTATCGTTTCACCATCTAATATCAGAAGCTAATATAGGAGATAGATGTAGGAGACTGTTTTCATGTTCAGCTTGCATGAAACACTCAGAGTGACCGATTATAATCAGAAATAATAATTTAAAAATGTGTTTTCAGTCAACCACACCTTTAAAATTCAATTTCTACGAAAATGTTGTTGCTCAATCCCAAACATGTGCGTCCTTGTACAAGCAGAAATGTTCTCACTTGTGGTGTAAAAAGAATGGAGTGTACCAAAGGAAGTGGTGGATAAAAGAATGCAAAATAGGCTGCAAGGCAAGACAAAAGTATCTGTTATCCCTTTTAGTTTTATCAGTAATAATATGTCAGCACTCTGGCATGGCTGTAAATGGCTGTAGACAGGGAGAACAACTCAGACAGAAGCAACCCAAAGCAACAATGTCCGTGCAACACTGATGAGAGCAGGCTGCTGGTGCCAGTGCGTTACTGGCTCATTGAGTGCTTGTTCTAACCAACCCAACCTGGAACGGAGTGGCACAGAGGCCTCTGCTTCCCCAAGTGCTGTTCAATGTCTTTCAACATAAATATCAATCCTATTATTTACACTTTAGTCAAGTTGGCTGGTATGGATGGGTATTTATCTGCACTTATTGTGTTTTGGATCCATCTGTTGCAATATGCACTACACACTTGGCCCTTTACCCCCAACAATGGTTCGTCGTGCTTGCATTGCTGCGGAGAAAGCACGGTAATTGTCCTAAGCTGAAACAGCCTCTCATAAAGATAGGTTTTAAATGACATCTCTGCGCAAACACACACACCTAAATGAACAAATGAGACAACCTTTGACCATTTCACTAGTACTAGTACAACAGAGTGCTTGATTCTTCTTATGCACCCACACACACAAACACACCCCACATAAATGCTCTCATTGTAGCCTGAGGCAGCGAGTAGCTACAGCATATTAATATCCCAAGTGTTCCTTAGTATTTTCTGACTAATAGAGATAAAATTTGGAAAAGGAACTCAAGGGTGTGTTTGTCCAGATGCATGAAGACACACGTTCTATGATTAACATAGGGCTCTTGATCAGAAAATTCAAAAGCTCCCTTTTATTGCACTAGATGTTTGAATTATATTATATTTATCGTGGCAGATGTGTCTAGGAAATGGCTGCAAATTGAATGGAATAAGTCGTGTTTCCAGTATAGGAGTTCCGGGAAATTTCTGGGAGGGGGAAAACAACCATGAGAAATGATGGCTAGATCCTTTCAGCTGCTGTGTCTCCACACAAATTCAGCCTTTTTACGACTCTGCTAAGACGTCAGCTTATCACGACTGCTTCTGCAGTGCATGATGTCACTGATCAGCGCCAACAGGCATCTCCAGACAACAATAACATTAAAAGTTTTATTTTTTCACAGTATGGTGTAGCTTAACCGAGTCAGAGTATAGTGGCTGTGCGACATAAAATGTGGCGTTCAATGACCAGAAGAAACTATGTAGTCCACAAAGCGGCCTTTCTTTTGGCGTTCAGCAGTGATGGTTTCAAAGCTGGGTGAACCGCGTTTATTTTCTTTTACTTTCCTTTCATTTTGCTTCACAAGCAACTCTTCCAATTGTACAAATGCCTGTTGTTTGATTTGGGTGACGTCTGCCCATGTCATTCCCTACTGAGCTACAACCAATCAGCATGAGGTAACCAAAAGTTTTACTCAGCGACTCTACTGGGCCATTCCGAGTAACTACCCCGCAGCTCAGATACTCCGGTGGTTCCTGAAAATGGCCCAGAAAATGGTCCTTCCAGCTGACAGTGAAACAGAGACACGTGCATGCCCCAAAGTTCCAATTACCCTGACGGTCCGGGCCTATTGGTTTGATTATTAGCTTGCCCGGGAAAGCTAATGGATTTGCTGCTCATTCGCTAGCCGAATCATGCCTAGTGTGTGTGTGTGTGTTCAGGGTAAGGGTGTAAATCACTAGTTTGATCACAAGACATTGTTATATCAATACAGAGGATTGCAATTTGATGCTTCCTGATATCTCAAATTCAGTCACAATACCATTTCCATTTGATTTGATTTAGAATCCACTGAACCGGTTTTAATGGTTTTACGAGTAATTGATCACAATCATCTCCCAGGGGAGAGACGATTTCTTCGCTGGCTGTTTTCTCACTGCTCGCTACCTTCATTTGACATGTTTAGTGCAGGAACAGGTAAAAAAAACGACATGTAAGCAGAACTTCAAAATAAAGCAGTTTTCAAAATAAAAGTGTGTTTGATTAATTTTTATTGTATTAATATTATTATTATTATTATTATTTGTATTTTGAACCTTATAATCGATGTATCAATGTAGATCAATATGTTGTTACACTCCATGGAGCTGCCAGGGTCACCGCCTCTTTCAGTTGAAATCACTCAAAAAAATCTGGGTTCTGTTCTTGAAAGCAGAAAAATGTTTGTTAGCTGGATGCATGAGTGATGGCGACATGAGAAAGAGACCGGCACATGTTTGTCATCTTGTTTTTTTTTTTTCTCTTTTCCATCAACAGCAGGACATGTCAGCTTTTGTAAACTTAGCAGACGGGTTTCTCGCGCTTTTTTGTTTTTTTGTTTTAGTCAAAGATTAGAGAAGCAGACTTTCTGATAGTTTCAGGTCAAGTAAATGTAAAACTCAGTGGAATGTGTGAAAGATTACAAAGACTTTCAGCTGAAACTGCGTCCAGTCCAGATTTAGATGGGTGGGGCTCGGATGAAAGCAGGGGTGGATTTTAAATGTGTTTTTTGCCCTTTGGAGATTGTAGGGTCACGGCAACCTGTGGTTAAGGAATAGTTTGAGGAGCTGTTGCCATGACGGAGTTTTGAGTAACTTGTATGACTTGGATTAGAGTGGAGCGTGTGTGTGTGTGTGTGTGTGTGTGTGTGTGTGTGTGTGTGTGTGTGTGTGTGTGTGTGTGTGTGTGTGTGTGTGTGTGTGTGTGTGTGTGATTAGAGCAATTTAAAAAACATGTGCAGCCTGTTTTTGTTTGTTTTTATCTCGGTAGCTAAATTTTATGCAAAACAAATCTTTGACATTGTCTGCATCCCAAATACCATTTTTGCCAATATCATCATCATTGAGAGCTATTCACTCGAGCTGGGTATAGATACCTCTTCTTCCACCTGTATCTCCTTGAAAACTGACGTGTGACTCTGGGGCTGTGTTAGGCAGGCGGATGTCTGGTCTTCAGTGCGGCTCTGCCGTGACAAAAGAACAAGGCAGCAACCCGAGACTCACAGGCCTGTTTGTTTCCTGTTAGTGGAGATTATCACATTTCATTAGCCAGAGTTACAAGAACTAAGCATCATGGGAGTGAGCCATTCCAAGCTGGGACGTGTTTAATGTCTGGTTTCTCATTTATAGCAAGCCGCAATAGCAAGTTTGGAAAACAAATTAGCTTAAAAATGCTTTTCGATGCCTCTTAAAAACGTTTTAACATAGTACAGCTATGCAGATATTGTAGAAATAAAAAAGTTATAAAGTTGTTGTCTCACATTTGTCTAAAAACTTCTGCCAATAACACGTTTTGGATTGAAAGCAACTACTGGACTATCCGATTTCGGTCTCGCCGAACTTCCGTGCTTCCATGGGTCCATTCATTACACACTCCCATATTTATCAACAGAACACCACTGGTGTGAGAGGTTTTGCGCTCAGTAATATCAGAGAAGGAGAAACAGCCGGCTGCTACCACTTCAACTTTAGGACAAACTTCCAGAGTCCCAAAAAGCAAAGCACCATTTGAAGTCACAGACAACAAAATATGTTTGGACCTAGAAAACGGCGATTGGTGTTTAGCGCTCTCTTGTTTCCTCTGGCATAGCGGGTTTCTGGTTCCGGGGCATGCAGAAGCAGTGAAGACACCCGAGGGGAGGGGTTAGTGTTCCGTGACAGTGTTTGCATTCAAAACCTAGCTTGACTGCAGATTTGCTGTAGCGGCTTTAATGTGAAGTTTTGTTTGGCAGAGCTTATTATCACAGATCATCTCTTTTCTCTCCTCCATGCATGTGGCATCCAAATAAAAATTACTTCAGTGTGTTTTTGTTAGTTTGTCTTCTTTCTTTTTGCCGAGCTTGTGGCATTCTGCTATACTGAAGGGTTAACATTTTCAAACGTTTCTTTATGTTTACCTTTTTTAAACCGCACAGGCAAGGTTAATAATTATCTACCCTCATTTTGAAACTCAGCCTTCAAACCTTACTTATTTATTGCTACATTGCTCAATCTGGCTTATCTGAAAGAGAAGACCTCTTTGCAGTGTTGAAATTCCATCCTTTTTTTATACTGACAATCACTCCTTTCTTATGTCAGATTCCTTAAATAAAATTACCTCCTGGATGTCTCAGAAAGAATTCCTTTTACATGTGATCATCCTTTACAATCTGCTCCTTGTTTATGGTGATCCCGTTCCACGGGTTTGATTTTTGACTCACGCTGTCATTTGCTCTGTATTTGGTGTCGTGTTGGGCTGCACCGTAGGATGTTGCCACATCAGATAGGCTTTTGCTCCCCGGGAGACTTTGTGTTTGGCATCTAAACAGCAAAGAGCAATGGTGGCGCGGGTCAAACAGGTCAGCGGTGGAGGAGGGGCAGGGTGAGAGCTTTGTTAGGGAAGAGCAAGAATTCTTCCGGCTGGAAGATGAAGTCAGTGCATTCCTGCCAGTAGGCAGCATGGCGGAGCAAAGCCGCGCTTTGAGTGACGGAGAAGATAAAAGTGGTGTTCAAAGTGAAACACCTCCCAGGACCAGAGAGTCAGAAGAGAACACCATCTGCTTGTCTTGGGTGATGACTTTTCTGCTTAGCTGCAAAATTTCCTTCACGGTGCCAAACCTAAGAGACAAGTGCCTGGAGCATTTTCCTTTTTATAAGCGCCACAGTGATTTATTGCCTTGTTTTGAAGTTTAGCTCTTAAAAGTACAGACAGAAAGGGGGACGACCAGGCTTAATGATATTTCCGCAGGTTAAACCCGCCGCTCAGATCTGTCAGGTTTGTTTGGGATCCAGTTCAAGTCCTGTTGAGATCGGTCAAACTGAACAAAAAGGTACTCAAGCCTGGCCTGTTTCTTTGCACTCTTGACTTGCTCTGCTTTCCCTGTCAGTTCTCCTTGGCAATAAGCTATCATAACAGCTTTGAAGGAGGGCAGCCAAGCATTTAATTGGGTTACAGGTTGGCGTTTGTGCTCACAGGTCCACCAGAAAATGCAACATTACTTTATTTTTTGGCTGCTGTGTTTCTGACCTAAGCACCGTTTGATGTTTAACCTGATTGTATAATAAAGTGACCTGGATGAGGAGTTGCTCGGTGCATGAGAGCTTTACAGACTTTCTTATTTAGGCTATCAACAGCACCTGTAACTTTTGGAATAAGATTTACATTTTTATCTCTGTGAAAACTTAAACAGATGGGATGTAAAAGTCAAAATGAGACTTTTATGGGTTTTCTTCTTGTATTTTTTTTTACAGAGGGTCATGCAGCGGTAAAGTGTGCCAGATAAATATCTCCGTTGTGTCCTGTTTGGTCCAAAATGGAGCTCAAAGTTTGGGTTGATGGAGTAGTGCGGGTTGTATGTGGCCTGTCTGAGGAAACGTCATGCCAGGACGTCGTCATAGCTCTGGCACAAGCCATTGGTGAGTACCCCGTTCTTTAAATGCTTCTTGGTTTTGCTATGGTGTTTTTGCACTTCTTTTCTTATGTATGAGTGTTTAAGTAAAAATCTTTATCGATAACCTCCCTCTGCAGTGGGTTTTTGAAACACGCCAAGGTGAGATCACAAAGACCCTGTTTTTCTACCTTTTCGTTCTCCACTGACCTGAATCAAGTCCTCTGCTCAGCTGGACTGTTGGAGGGTCAGCAGGATCTTCGCTCTGTGTTAAATAATATAACTCCAGATTTAGACTTGCCTCCTTCCACGAGTGAGCTTGCTGCCAAGTCTTTGGGGAGTTCTTGTCCTAATTTTGATGTCTTTGAGGAAAAATCACTTTATCTTAACAATTTCCACTTATTGTGCAAGTCTTATGTGTTTACCAGTAACAACGATTTCTATTAGTCAGCAAAGTATAAATTATGTGCTGATCTTATTCACATCACATGGATACTTATACACTTCAATCACACTGTTACAAGCCCTCATGACATCTGCATGCACATTTACTAGGTCTTGTTATTTGCTACTTCAGGGAACTTGCCTAAGAGAGAGTTGCTTTTTTCTTTGACAAGATCTGGCAACACCAGCTTCAGCAGACAGAGTAAATTAGGAAAAAGTATAACTGCAGGTTAAAAAACATAGACAGTTTTAGGGCAAGTAATTAGCCAGAGCAGTGTGTTTTGTTTTTGAGAGATGTGGAAGTAGCAAGAGGCAAACTCCGCCTGCCAAAAGCGAAGCTAACGTGGAAATGACAAAAATAGCAGTTCTCCCCTCATCCAGCAGGGGTTAGACCCAAAAAGGAGCAAGTTCTCATCGACTATGTGTACATGTAGACAGTATTCGGGTTCTGATAGGGTTACAGTCAGTATTTGGGTTTCAGTAATACATGTACAAGTAGAGAGAGTTACCCTGTATACATGGAACTTCTAATATCTCGATTACATAGCGTCAGGATCAGGATGTACGGGCTAATCTAAGACACAATATGCATATACAATATTATGTGCTCAATCAAACCACAAGAGACGGCCTTTTACATATCATAAGGAGACTGCAAACTAGCAAATAACACTTGAATTGACATTTTTTTATGTTAATTACACTTTTTTATTAGGCACAGAGCATACTAGGTGGCATTTGTGGTACTAATAAGTCACATTACTACCTGTATTTATTATTACAACTGATCTTGGTTACGTAGCTATTGTGCTTATAAGGCGAGCTGCATCTCGTTATGTTGAACTCTATGTGTAATGACTGAGTTTACATGCAGCCAATAACTTGTTCAAAACCCGGTTATTTGCAATAACCCGGTTCCACAAGGCCATGTAAACACTGGCAAAAAACTGATTATGCTCATAACCGGGTTTTAAAAACCGGGCTATTACCCCTGGGGTAACGGTTTTCTAACCCAAATATCAGGTCATGTAAACTCGTGTCAGGACAACTCTTTTAAAAAGGTGCGCTCAGTCAGTAGAGGAACTTCTTGTATGTGCCAGTATACCGGAAGTGAACATTGACTCCCTTGTTAAAAATAACAACTCCACAGCATAAATAAACATGTTTATAGGTATTGTCCTTTTGATTGACAGGTAGCAAGTGAGTTGTCACCGCCAGTGTTGCCAACTGTTTTTGACTGAAAGTAGCTGAAGTTCCCCCCAAAGTCACTAGATGTCGCCACCAGATGACATCATTACGCCACATTGGCGTTCATTTTCCCCATAGCATCTAATATATACACACATATATATATATATATATATATATATATATATATATATATATATATATATATATATATATACTGAAGATTTTTAAAACATGTTGGTCTTTTTAGGACTAAAAGGGAGGAAAATAACAAAAACTGTTATGTGTTAAAGTTATTAATTAGTATGATTAAAATGGCCCAAATTGCTTTGATATGTAAAATAAATTCCAAAAGTATAAATAAAGTTACATTAAGACAGAAATGGTGTGGTGATCCAAACAGTTCTGTTGTAGGATATAACTCAGACCTCCTGCTCTCCTCATTCTCACAGACATTTTCCTAAAGAGCAGTTTTTGTATACCTCATAGTTTCTCAACTTCTCTGTTGTGTATTCTCTCCATCGTGATAATAACGGCGCACCGAGCAGAAGGGAGCGGGTGTCTCATGGTATAACCATCCCTGTGTCACTGAAGGAAATTCAGATGAGCCACAGAGCTGTGTGTGTAAACGGGACGGTAATTGAAACTCCCGTTGACTTTATTTGCCAAATGCAGGAAAATCCAAAGTATCTGAACCAGAGGTCGCAGGTTGACACCTGCGCCGTCTCCAGTAGAAGCGTGAGCCTGCAGTAGCAGCAGACGTAAATCGGCAGTCTCCAGCTCTGCAACTGTGCCTTTGTCTTCGGCCCGGCCGAAAATGGTTTATGATTGGTCAGTCCTTGTGCACATGTGCAGATTACCGTTCTCTTTCCTTACTCCAGGAAGAACGGTTCAAGTGCAAATGGTTTCTTGTTGCTAATCTGTAGGAAATATCTAAAAGAAAGTTCTACAGAAAGTAGCAACGGGTCCTGAGAAATGTCGCTAGGTTTGTCGCTAGGCGCTTTTTGGAGAAAAAAAAAGTCGTTGAGGGGGGTCAAAAAGTTATTAGGAACAGCGACCAAGTGGCTGAGTTTGCAACACTGGTCACCACTAGAGCTAGTGGCTTGCACCCTTGCTTGCTCCATTTTAAAAATGTTATGGCCTGGAAATCAGAGGAGAGCAGAGTCGCTCAACTACAGTTTTCTGGCTTAAAGCTCTCGCCAACCTCTATCAGTTTTAAGCCACTTTTATAAAACAATGCCACCAGTTTGCCGCAAAGCTGAGCCGGCATCTGGGAGCCTTAGGTTTCTTACAGGTGGTCAGACCGTGGCGGTAAAGTGGCACAATCGTGTCCTTTTAGAAAAGATTAAGCAATGGAAGGAAAAAGGGGGTTATGGGGCAGTCTCTGAGCTGCCACAAACCCTTTAGCTTGAACATAATTTCCTTTTAATTGCGACTGAAGCTGTGTTTCTTAAGTTTTTTTTTTGCCAAACTGCTCCTAGAGGTGGCTGTCCTTCACAGTCCTCGTGAACTGTCTGGTGATCTGAGCTCCTGGAGCTCTGCATTGCTCCAGTTTGCCATCTCAGCTAATTCTGTTTAAAAAAGCTAAACTAACGCCCGTGTTTACTTTCATTTTCAATATAGCTTTACGTGATTTGAAGCTTGGCATTCCAGTAATGTCACTACCAAGTGTGGCAGCACAAATGCCAAAAAATTCCTGCCACAGTGCTTTTATAAGACACGCCGTGGCGGCAGTATTACGCTGATTTTCCGGCATGATGTGTCTTCTAAAAGGGTGGTTATGGTTAGCTCAGAGTTTATTGGGTGTCGTCATCTTCCCCCACACTCATAGCTTCGCTCTAGGTTCCATTTTTGTAGTTTTTAAGAGTGACAAGATGTGTGATGTGGTTAAGATGGCGGTGGTGAGAACCCCGCCTACAAGTGACGGCGCGGAGGGTTCGCCTGTTATATATACTAGGGATGTGTGTTGGTGAAATTCTGGCGATACGATAAGTATCATGATACAGGAGAGATGATACGATATATCACGATATATTGTCACATCAATATTTTCTTACATCCGTAATGTGTACAGTCTTAAGAGGAGTAATCATGGCTTTGGATGCCCTCAACAATTCTGGGTATTGCGATGTAACATCGATGAGTTTCATTAGTCAGACTACGCTGTGACCTTTATTAGCTGAATAATGTTTTCACATAAAGAACATGCAGTACTGTATGTCTACTTCCAACAGCCTTTCTCCAACACCTCTAAAGACCTAACACTGATGCGCAATCCAATGTTCACGGAAACCAATCTGCGCAGCCTTTTCAAATTCAAACAGTGACAAATTTGTTCTCACTTTCTGTCATTTTGTCCACTTCACAGGTCAAACAGGGAGATATGTTCTAATTCAGCGTCTGAGGGATACAGAAAGGCAACTTCTGGCCACAGAGAGGCCTCTGGAGTCTTTGGCAAAGTTGGGCCAACATGGAAATGAAGTTCAGTTCTTCCTGCGGCGGACCGGTCCGAGCAGCAGTGATGGGCCCAGTTCAAAACAAGAACGACCATCTCCGCTTCCTAAGCAACCTGAGCCAGATCCTCTGAAACCAAACCAAGTTAAGAAAGCGCTGACTTTTAACTTGGGGCCATCAAGCTCTCCTAAAACCAAGGCCAAACAATTAAAAAAGTCTCCCAGGGACTCTTCAGAGCAAAGAACATCACCATCGTCTTCACCCACCCATCACATGCCCTCCCCTTCCCCCTCACCACCTGCTGGCCCCTCTAAAGAGGAGGTCTTCAGAAAAGTTCTCCAGCAACAGGAGAGACTGAGAGCCATCGATGGACATCTAGAAACCGTAGAGAGGGAATCACGTTCCAGGGAGCGCTCCTACCAATCTCCATGTCCCTCACCAAACTCTGACGCACGCCTGCAAGAGGAATTGGATGTTTTGGAGCAGGCAGTGCGTAGGAACCAAGCCGAACTTGCCCATGAGCAGTACTGGGAGGGGGAACTTCAAGCAGAAGAGGAAAGGGAGCAAGGAATGAGGATGAAGCTGGCGGACCTTCATGCCAAGCTGGACGACTGTGGACGGCGTCTCCACGAGTTCTCGGTTCGTTCAACTCAGTTGGAGAAAGAGATCCAGCGGGAGAGCCAGGCGGCAAGGAAGGCCAACGCGCCCGAGGAGTCACTTGATACTGTGAAGGAAAAGCTGAGGAGCCAGGAGAGAAATAGAGCTGAGCTGGAGGAGCAGCTGGGGGAGACTGACAAGGCTCTGGGGAAGGCAGAGTCTCTGCTGCAGGTAAGGAGAGAGGTCACAGTTCTGGAGAAAATGTTGTAAATCTGCATCAGCGTTTGAGCGATGTAGGGTAGACCCTCGTTTTCGTCACAGCTAACTGTAGCCCTCTCCTACCTGCAGAACACCACAGGCACACAACAACGTAGACCCTTCAAAATAAAAAGGAACTGATTTATTATGACGTAATGAGATGAATTCTGTATACTCATACCAACCAAGCATGGAAATGCTTTATTTATAGTCTGGTTAAACCAGTTTGGCATCTTGCATGTGCTGCACTTTTTTTTACCTCATGGTTACTAATAGTGTTTGTATTATATTTATATACATTGGCCTAAAGTTGGATCGAACCGGATGAAAAAAACACAGAAATAATTCTACCTAAAGCCTCTTTTAATGGTTTTACTCACACTGGACATCTTGTAGCTCATAAACTGGTTATTTGTGTACTTTACTGGTTGTCATAGACGTGGGAGTTTCAATAAAAGCCTAACCCAGTTTAAAATGAAACCTGAGCTTCTTCATAATCCACGTGAAACCCAGGACAAACCCGGCTCGATCTTTTAATTGAGCTCTAGCAAGACGGGCTAAAGAAGATTAGTTTTTTGATTGTATAGCAAAAAATTGAGGTTGGAGGTTTACTCTTTATTGGGCTGCAGGACTAAATATATTTTATGATAAACTTATGTCCTTCTTGAACAGTCAGGCGTACGGGATCTTTGTAAACCCAGGCGGGACAATATGACATATCGAATGCTCAGCTGATAGAACAAAGAGGAACTGTGAATCGGGGTCAGACTAACGTGGAACTAGCAGCAAGTGTTTTAAGGCAGAAAATAACACCGAGGGGCTTTTTGTGGGCCACCCATCAATAATTACATGTGAAGAAAAAAGAAGCGCCCGTTTCCTGTAAATGAAATTGCACAACAAAGCTCATTCCGTTGTGACGGGAAAAGGGGTCTGTGTCAGTCATCAGTCTGGGAATGGATGGAGGCAGCCAGCCAGGCGTTTAAATGATGCCGGTGATGAGCACAGCGTTGCTGTCATCAGGCTAATGGAGGCAGACCTGCAGGTGTGAACCACCTCAGCAGGCGTCCTCAGTCCAGCATCAATTATCCAAACACACACTCACGCCGCTGGAGTGGAAGGGAGCTTTGGCGTGTTTTTGTGCCGTATGCAGACACACTAATCAAGAACAAATGGATCTTGACTTGCTTCTCTGTACACATCAGGATAAAATTGAGTGTGTTTCTGGGATATTTCTGAATTTTTTTTTTTTTTGTCAAAGTGCCTCTTGCAGCACAGATTGGATGGAATCTTAAAATGCTCAAACCCAAATGGTCAATTTTCTGATAAGTGATCATGCCCATTAATTATTTAAAACAAGAGTTTGCTGCCCCCTTGTGTCAAAAGCAAGTAAACGTTGTTCTGGTAATTTAAAACCATAGTAAATGTTTTTTTAATCACATAGATGTGTATTTAGTGCTTAATATATTGCATCTCATTTTGAATTTATATCTGCTTTTACTCATTTATACTATTTTTTTTCTTTCCCAGGCCAAACAGGAAGAGCTAGAGGAGCTGAACAAGGAGCTGAGGCAGTGCAACCTGCAGCAGTTTATTCAGCAGACAGGTGTCCTCCCAGCACACATCCCGTCACGCACAGAGCTGCAGGAGCAAATGGAGCAGCTTGAACTAGCAGCTGGTAGTGCAGACTATATAGTCAGTGATGCGTCTGAGACTTGTTTTCTGTTCCCTGAAGACATTTCTGTGTCACTTTCAGGCCGCAGTGCGACTCCCGTGGAGTTTCCGTCTCGCCCTACAGCAAAACAGTTCCTGGGACATCCTCGAAACCTACAAAACCCTCTAGTGTCCAGTCTCAACCCTGAGGGTGTGTATGTGTGAGACTCTGCTGCTTCGCGTTCCTGCCCCGCTCTGTCCATCCCCCTGGCCCCAGAGTCCCCCCCCCCCTCCTCTCCTCTTAACTTGTACAGTCTTGCCTGGCTTGATTGGGCTGAAGGCTAAAAGCTGTCGTTTGTGGTTTTGGAAACATCTGAACAATGGTGGTTTTGGCTACTTCTCTCCTTTGTCTCTCAGTCCTCTTAACAACTCTTGTCCCTATTTTATTTTCCAACAGTAAATGCAATCTTCCACAAACCTGTTTCTTGTCTCACTTCTGTACCCTTTCCTCTTCTGGGCTTTATTTACCCATCCTCTGCTCCCCGTCCAACTTGCTTCTGAACTAACCACGGCTGTTTTTGTGGTGTTTTAATGCATCTTGGGATTTGCTGCTAATTCTTTGTAACTCAGAGTGGCCTTCCCACCCTCAAGTCCAAAAAATATATATAAATACATTGACAACCAGTACTTGCTCTTCACTGTATCACAATGTATTATTACAAATGATTGCTTTGGACATTTCGAATGTGTTTATTTTTATACTGGGGCATGGAAATCCATAAGATCAATGTCATTTGAGTTTGGTTTTTGTTTACGAACATTACTTAAATGTGTGGGGATGTGTTTGCCTTGTACTTTGGTGATGCTTGACCTCCAAAGAGCAAGCGCCTTCTCTACAAAATGTTTTGCACTGTCCTGTTTTCCTCTCGTGTGAAGCCTTGGTCCTTGTGTGCCTAGAGAAATGCATCACTCCACCCCACCCAGAATCGATTTAAGATTTATTTTTGAGAACGTCTATTTTTGCCAAGATCTTTGTTAGCAGGAGAGATACATTTCAGAGTTCGAGTCACAAGGACATGGGTATTTTTTTATGATTGTATTTCCTCCTGTGGTTTGCATACACTTGGTTCTTTTGCTGACATCATACAGACCATTTGACCTGTCACGACCTAAACTGAGCCTCATTTTATTCTAGACTTAAGTCCCAATTACAAATAATAATTAATAAAAAGATTATATCAATAAATGACCATTCAAACTAGAGGTCGACCGATATTGCTTTTTCTATTGTTATTTCTATTTTCTATTGTTTATCCATTTGATACCGATGCCGATATGTAGAAGAGATGGTCAGCCGATGGCCGATATGTACCAATTTCCATGGCCTATAGGCGTTTTCCACCTCATTTTCATGCTAAAATGTCACTAATAATCAGTTGATGTCCAAAATTTCTGAAGTAGAATCAGTTTTTGAACTCTGAATTAACTAACTATTAAATCTTAACTTTGCGCGCTGCTCAGTGTTAAAATAAGACACCTAGATAGTTAATTTAGAGTATTTATTATTTAATACATTCAATGGAAATTCTGCAACAGCACCCTGCTGCCCAAGAATGTGCCCGACTTTAAATCGGCTTTACTAAGGACAAAGATCGGTCGATATCAATCTAAAAATAAAAGGTAAATATCAGCCCGATATATCGGTCTACCCCTAATTTAAACCACTTTAACCAGTATTTAAAGCACTTAAATCATAATTATAATGTAAATGTCTACGTGATGCTGACAGGTCAATGTGGTGTGTGTGTGTGTGTGTGTGTGTGTGTGTGCACTCCTTTACCTTGCAGTGTTTTATTTGAGTTTTGTACAAACTCTGTGGATCTGTTTCATACATGAGTGTGTGAATATTCAGAATAATCCAGCTAATCTTGTTGTTTCTTAGCATAAAATTGTTTATTATAAACAAAGGGATCATCATCCCCACTTATTTTTGTGTGTCTTGCAGTCCTGACATCCCGAGAGTCATCATGGAGATAGAACATGGACCGCAGGGCGAAGGGAAAGTTGTTCACTGTTCTGTCACCATCTCTTCCTATTTAACCTTTTACAATCTAACCATTCCTGTCTTTATTCTGTTGACCATTCACACACGTTAAATTAAAAAGACAAATATATTTGCAGTTTTGCTACTGTAAACATTTCAAAGTTTATGTATGAAAATGTAAAATAATTTAGGAATCTTTGACCTATAGAGATTATTGCAATTACTGTGTATTTAAATATAATAAATTGTGCATTGTCTTCTAGATAATTTTGGTTGGGTGTTTTTCTTTTTTTTTATGAAATACTATAAAATCTTGCAGTAGACTATGAATTCACGTACTAAAAATCTCCAATGCTCCTGTTTGAATCGTGTTATTGGTATTCAGGGTGTTTTCTTGATGCCTGAGGTCTGATGTATCAGGATTTCCAGGCATTTTAGCTGTACTTTTCACAGGTGGACAGCTCACAGTTCACACAAGTGGCACTACTGTTGGTGATGTAAGATAAAGTGCTGATAAAGGCTAGCATATAAAAAGAAAGAAGCAGGCATTTTCTAAAGCAGATTACGTTGCTCTAAATGGGCCTGATGAGGTGTTTTAAAGGTGTGGCTGACTTATAATTGGTCACTCTGAGTTTTTCATGCAGGCTGAACGTGAAAATAGTCTCCTACACCTTTCTCCTGCATCAGCTTCTTCTCGTCACACTGTCAATTAGCGCTCACAGACTCACCGATATTGACGCATGATGGGGAAAGCTGTTGTTTTAACGTCTGGGAATCAGCAGAGAATGCCTTGGCTAGTAGATACTAAGCATTAGCATTAGCATTAGCAACAACACCACATGGCCGAAGGTCCTCCAGGCTTGTGTTCTTTGTGAAGGCAAAACATCCACGTTGCAAATCAGTGCATAGTCGTATTGCTGTCATCCACTTCAGGGCAAGATGTCTAAATGTCAGGAAATAAGACTCCAAATCCTGCCGTATGAAGCTCAGCTGTGATGTGGGCAACTTTTAGGTCAGAGGAATGGTGCAGCGGTATATTTCCCCCCACTGAGAATGACTTATAAGACATTCCTACTAAAGGCCATTGTAAAAGTTCACATCGTACAATAAGAGCAAATTTTACAACAGACCTAAAGTCCATGCATGTTTTAACTACCTTGACTAGAAAAAAGCACTTCATCATACATGGTCAGAATGGTTTTAGGTCAATATGAAACCAATTAGGTCCTCACACTACTTCTGTCCTCCATCTTGTTTACTCTGGAGAAGTCTGCCACAGTGCGAGTGACGTGAGCTTCCCTGGTGCTCTGCTTGACCCAGACTGATACCCTGTAGGCCTCTATAAATACTCTCATTTGCTGACACTTGGCAGGTAAAAATCTGAGCAAAGCACATTGTGTTTCTAGCTGTTTCCATCTTCAGCAGTGCCTGCTGAAGGCTGATGTAACATGCAGTTGGGTAAACAAGTAATTTTCTCTTTTGACTTTATGAAATGTTTCATGTGCAATACATTAGACCAGACCTTTAAAAGTGACTGGCTTTGCAGGAGGTGGACGAGCTCCAAATCTGTATTTTGGCTAAAGCCTGGTGCCACTCTGACACATGCATTCACCTCATACTGATCCGTTACAAACATCATTTATATCTGAGCCCAGAGTAATTCAATATAATAATGTCACATTAACAGATTATGATGATTTTCCAGGACACTGCACTGAGGGAACTGTTTTTATTAACAGCAGGTCCCAGGAGTCCCATCCAAACCTATTTTTAAAGAAAAAGCAAACGTTTTTGAAATTTTTTTTTTGCTTTAATCCGATCAATATGTACTATTAAACGGACAAGGGATTGCTGGGAAAGCGTCTCACGAACGATCGTGAGCATCTGCACGTCCCATCTCACAATGATGACTGGAGTTAGTGTGCGCAGATGGAAACAGAATATGTATTTACAATTCACAAAATGTGACAAAATTGGCTATTTTTATTTGGCCCACTTTTAACGTCCATGTCCACATATGAGAAAACAAGTCTTGATTTTTTTTTTGCTTCTGTTTGCATCAAACAACCCCGAAATCAACACGCTGTCAACAAAGAGGCATCTGGCAGTTTAGCTCCTTCTGGAGAAAAAAAAAACTACTTTTAACCCTCCCACTGTCCTTATTAGTGACCCCGCCAAAGTTGACCATCGAGCAGGGTTGATGGTTTATCCCTTGATGTCCACGTGGCAGGGGTGGGGAGTGAGCACCACCTCGCCCCTGCCACGTGGACCTCAAGGGATAAACCATCAATCCTGCGCAATGGTCAACTTTCCTGGCGGGGTCACCCATGAAGACAGTGGGAGGGTAAAAATGTTTAGTAAGTTTATTAGCACATTTCAAATCGTCAACATTAAAAGTTTATCTGTAATGCTGTTACAATTTCATGAACCATCTCGCCAAATTTAGCTAAGCATACAAAGCCCTGTGGGCTCATTTGAAGTTTCTGTAATTAGAAAATTTGGGGTATTTAATAACTTCGTAATCATCCAGACATGAAAAATACTACAAAACAACAAAACCCTCCATACTTTTCAAGACTCACCAAGAACAGCAGCTGATGTAGGTCAAAACTTTACTTTTTACTTTGCACGCTTAAAAACATAAATGCACAAACTTTAAGTTCAATTTTGTTTATTGGGATCTTATATTTGCACAAAACAGCATCGATAAAATAACTGAGCAGAATTTAAGGGCTTACTCGTGCAAAATATTGATAATATACATTTGCATAAATTCTGTATGAGAATAAGTGAAAACAAATAGAAAAGAATAAGTGAAAACAAATAGAAATCTTATTGGCTTCTTTAATTGTCTTCAGTGATTATAGCCACAGAAGATGAAAGAGAAACTGAAACCAAACTCACCATCTCACTGGGGCCTGCAGCTTGATTAGGATGCAAAGCAAAAAAAGACACTGGTACTAAATAAGGGAAAAATATAGGAAGTTGGCTGTGGTACTGGAGACCTCTGGGGGCGTGCATATAAAGCAGCGTACATGACATGATTAGGAACAGCTTGTACACGAGGAGGCGTCTGTCTGCTCCGGCTGCGGCTGGTCTGGGACCAGCCTGAGTGAGCGGTTCTCCCAAAACCAGGTTAGCCGCTGTCACACGCACAGTGGAACTGGCAACTGGCACAATGTGCGTTAGCCAGTGGCTTACCTGCTTTTAGATCTCAGACAATATCATCACACAAAGTCTGTGGAATAACAACAAATGAATTATTAATAAATCAAACTCCACTTTTATACAACACATGTCCAAAATGAATCATATCTAATTATAATGTATCAAATCTGAATTAAACCACAGAGACTTTAAAACTGAATTGACTTCCTGCTCATCGTGTATTGATTAGGCAGTAAAATTAAATGTATCATCAACTGGCATCGAAGTTTCCTAATCCCATTTATTTAGGCTATAACAATAAATATTAAGATTAGTTAATAAAGCAATAATAAAACACACGCATAACGTAATAGATGTTTCTTATGTATGTAAAAACAAAACAGGTTAAAAGAGAGAGGGCAAATACAGAAAGTACTTACCAGTCCCAAGTTTTTGATTTTTTTTTCATTTGAGTAAATGAAAAAAAACTTTAATTTCCTCCCAAATGTCCTTTTGTTCCAAGAATCCAAATGTCCGAAATATATATTACATTTTTATAAAATAAATCTCAGCACATGATCACAGTTAAGTGGGAATATTCAATATTGTGTAGCCTACACTGCCGCTGAAGTTCAGTTTGCTTGCACTACCCCACTCCCCTGCCTCTGCAACCCGACCTGCTTATGCAAATTAGAATCAATTCGACACAGCAAACAGCCAATCAACGATCGGCTTGAGCCTAGCACGACTCCTGTTCCTGAAAACGGACCAATCACGAACGTGCAAAGGCGGGGTGTTTAGGGACATCAGTCAAGTTGAGTGTTCGAGTTGTAGTTGGGGTGCGGCGCGTTCAGTTCTGCACGTCGTACATCAGGAATGAACCATTACCTGGTTAACAGTTTCCTGTTCTGGCCCATGTTTACAGCAGATATCACCGCACGACGGCGCGTTTACCCTTAAAGACACGCCACGTTGGGCGGCAGCTGCTATTGGAGGCGGTTTGAGAGAATTTAAAGCTGGTTCGCGTGTGAAAGCACCGACCCCTCCCGTATGAAGTAGATGAACTCGGCTTACTTGTGTACAGCGTTGCCATGAGCAGAGTGTGGCTGTGCACGTAGCAAGGATGCTGCATGACAGTCTGATCTGATGATGATGACGAAGAGGAAGGGAGGACGACCCATACTCAATTATTTAATGGTTGTTCGGATTACTCTCTGGCATTACTAACACTTTGTTTTACATCACACGCACGCGCGCACACACACACGCACATACACACAACCAGAATTACAGGCTGTTATGTAACGGTGGGTTGTTGCACACAGAGTCCACCACTAGGGGGCAGCATATGAATTCAAACTAGAAGTGTAGCCTGGACATTTTGAATTATGAAATATAAATCACAGTCTATAATTGATTAAAAATGCTCTAGTTTTATTACATATTTTATACTATAGCACAACTCTAAATCAGGTGCATTTTATACACACTAAAATGATTGATTGGTGTTTGTTGTTAGCCTCAAGGGCAACCTGCTTGCTTCATTAACACTTGTAAGTTGCTTTGGACAAAAGTGTCTCCTAAATTATTTATTTATTTAATTATTCTTTATTCGACCAGGAATTTCCCATTGAGATTAAAAACCTCCTTTTCAAGGTAGTCCTGGCCCAGAGGCAGCAAAAGTTAAAGTTACAAATTTTTATTTACACAGACATGCACAAAAATACAGAAGGCAGATACAACACAGGGAATCTGTCTCAAGGGGTCTCAGTCTGGTTTTAAATGTAGTCAAGGAGATAAACTTGGTTAATTTCCAGTTTTCCTGTAGCTTGTTCCAAGCAGAGTGAACGAAAGGCCTTTAGCCCAGTTTGGTACGAGCGAACACCAAGTAACAATTTAATATTTGACTTAATTGACTGTGAGAAGTTACACTTCTCCTTGAGATTAAGTTACAAATGTAGTTGGGAAGTAATCCAAGCAGGGCCTTATAAATGAAAGTGTACAAATTCATTAAATACATATAAATACATAGACATAAAATACAAACACATAAACACAAAATAAAGCAATAATAAAGACATGATGCTGGGTTTAAGTATCTTGATTTGAAATCAAACTGCAGTATTGCTTTTTTTAATCGGTTTATTGGTATTGTTTTCAGAAATCCCAGTTGTGTGATCTGACAAAAGTCAGATAATTGCTGATATTTTTATTTATTATAATGTGCAAAATGATTTAAAAAACAGCTTTTTTTTGGAAAAGGCACACGCAGTTTGCATATCAGTTCAGTAGTGTAAATGAGGAGTGACAAACCGACAGAACATGACTGTGTTGTGCAATAGCCTCAGCAATATTAAGATCTGGTGAAAATTCAAATTGTTTTCATTAGGGCTGCACGATATTAGGAAAACATGTGAGATGCGATAACAGTGATTAATATTGCGATGACGATATTACTTGCAATAACAAAAAATTACAAAAATATCATAAAAATGAGAAAAGCAAAAGATGTGAGGAAAGGGAAAAAGAAAATGAACAAGACAAAACGATCAGTGGATCCCGGGAAAAGCAGAATCAGCAGAAAGAGCAGAACAAAGCTAACTCAGGTGTTTGCTAACCATCAAAATGAAGTGTCGTCCACCTCGGGGACGGGCATCTAACCTATGAGAACCCACCCAATTGGCCAAATGGGTGAATAGCTCTATTTGATTTGTTAAAAAAACATCATGCTTCCGTTTGATTGATAGAATGCATTATGTGTAGCAAACATTTGAGCTGACCATTCGTTGCGATATTTATCTGTTCTTTGCGTTACGCATAATGTGCATATTGACATCGCAATAACGATATATTTGCGATATATTGTGCAGTCCTAATTTTCGTCATGGTTCTTTCCCCATATTTATTTTTCTTGTTGACCTTCCCATCCTTTTCTGTCAATGCACCACTGCAAAAAACTGAATTTCCCAGGGAAACCTTCCTGAAGGGTTAATAAAGTTTATCTGAATATTGCATTATGATATGACTGTTTTCTGTCCTATCTGGTTGGGAGGATGGTCTCTTAAACTGATGGTTCACAATCCTTTAATCTACGTAACCTTTTATTGTGAACACTCCGTAAGAGGTACAAACACTGAAATGTTTGTAGTAGCCACGCTGGTGTTGCAGATCACAGGTGCGGCCAAGCAACAAAGTATTCTGATAAAAACAATCAAAGAAGCCAAAAGGACATTAGTATGGTGTTACTGTGTCCGGTCTTCACTGCAGATTAAAAGGAGAGCCATCATTAACGACAACTCTAGTTCTGGTTGGTTGTCAAGTGTCCTGCTGCCCCCTACTAGCATTGAGGGGTATTACAGCACAAGTCTGCAAAGACTGAACAAATAAATGCCATACTTTAAGATAATTTCTTGAGCTAGTATATGCTAGAGAGGAGCCAGTTGATGTGGATCAGGCATCTGGTCAGGATGCCTCCTGGAAGCCTCCCTGGTGAGGTTTTCTGGGCACGTCCAACCGGGAGGAGGCCTAAAGGTAGACCCAGGACACGTTGGAGGGACTATGTCTCCCACCTGGCCAGGGAACACCTCGAGATTTCTCCGGAGGAGCTGGCCCAAGTGGATGGGGAAAGGGAAGTCTGGGCCTCTCGACTTAGGCTACTGCCCCCGCGACCTGACTCCGGATAAGCGGATGAAAATGGATGGATGGATGAATAGAATAGATGGATGATCGTTTGAAGGGTTAATGAAATGTCACTCAAACTCCACCGCTCCCTGTGGTCAGAATACCGCACTTGCAACCTCAGAGTGGTGGGTCACCAACTGTTGGACTTAGAAAAAAATGGAGCAAGGTGCCACTTGTTTTAGATAGTGAACACTGCTGATTTATATGATTTATTGATGGACCACTCCTGAAGGCTGAGAAGACATTTCAGCAGTTTGATTTACACCTATTTTACACTAGAAGCATTAAGCATTGCGGAACGCCATCGGAACATTTCACTTGCGAGCTTCAGTGTAATCCATTACACCGGGAGAATCTTGGCTGCGGAACGCTTTCCTCACTGGACTCGCGAGATCACAAAATCCCTCGAGGCTTCAAAGGTCACGGTTTGTTCATGCAATCTACCAATACATCAAAAAGAAGGAAATCCTGTTTGATATCGCTATTCGATGTCATGTAGGACGTTGTTCCTCTCCACTGCCTGGATTAAAGCCATGAAAACACACCGCTGTACTTCTGGAACGATGCTGGGAGTAAATAAGCTGTTTTCCAAAATTTACCAAGATTTTTTTTTAATTTCCTGTCTAGCCCTATGTTAACTGGAAATTGATGTGTCCAAGAAGCAGCTTGCTGCAAAAATAGAACTCGAGTTTATCTTTAGAGGCGTGGGACACACCTGAAAATTGCTGGTTTGAAACACTCCATAGACTATGATGGATTCTATTTGAGGCAGCGACGTTCTGCTGCCATTCCACGCCGCTGATGCTTTCATTGTGAAACGAGTAAGGTGTTACAAACACATAGCGAAGAGTAGAGGTTCGCTTTTGGTAACTAAACGGACACTAGGGGGTACTAAAAACAAGCCAAAACAGCCAAGTATGCCTTTAAAGAACCTAAGAACGGGGTAATGCATAAAAAGGCGAAAACGCAAGACAGAAAACAGTTAATTAATCATATTCTCCATTAAAATCAAAAACGCATCAAACTACAAACTCAAGATACGTTTTTGAAATTCACCCGGTACTGTCCTCTGCAGGAAACAGACACTGCCTGCCACTTTAAGAGTCTCATTTGCCGAAGTGCATTCGGTCTTTTCCGTCGTTAGCCAGCCGGCGGTGTCATTCACCAAATGTGGAGATTTTCAAACCACTTAAACCATACACAGTTGAATAGGGTAGGTTACATAGTCATCGTTAATCTCTTACATTTTATTTTGTGACTACAATCGCTGAGTGCATTATTTGTGTAACTCCTCCTTGGGCGTGTTTCTCGAGCTGGAGTGGTTGACGTTAGCTAATTTTAGCTACTCCAAGGATAGCTAACATGCTACATTGAGGCTAATTTTACAAACCAGCGTCATTTTTCAAAGGCAGCATTGAATTTCTAATTTTCCACATTTCGTCGTTAAACTGCATATATCTAACGTAAATACGTACTACTGCGCTAATGCACAATTTACAGGAGTATTATAGTAAATACTATTTGCTGCTAAGTTTTGTTCTTTGTTTACAAACGTAGCCTTTGGATGGATGCAGCTGATTGTTAGCTAGTCAGTCCGTGTTTAAGTAACTGTTTCCGGTTTGTATAATATATTAACAATAAGCTAAATTCACATTATTCATATTAGCAAAATCAAGTAAAAATGTTACATGTTTCTCAGAAAATATTGCTATTTATTTTAAGTATTTTTTAATGTGGGTTAATGTTGAAGATAAAAATATATTCAGATATTCAGGTGTCTTTATTTTAAATTATGGTTGCATAGTATTTTTTCTTTAGCGTTTTAACTAAATAAGGGTCCGGATTGTGTTTAATTTAATTTATTTCAGTTAATAATCAAAGTTAAAATTGTAAGTTTATGCTATATGTGTGTATAACACTGCCATCATTCATTTATTCTGATCAAGGGTATTTTTAAACGTTTTTTGTTTAGTTAGATCGTTAAGATTTTTCTCCTTTATGCTTTTTTGATTGCATAAACATGTCGGATGCATTTGAGTTGTAGCAAAACAATGTCATAATTGACTAAATATTCAGACATTTTATTAGCTATTTTTATGCATAGCAATTTACTATTAACACCAACTTGATATATCCTAAATAATATCTATATTTTAGTTCCAGAAACAAGCTGTCAGTGACGTTCTCGTGCTGTTGCTCTAATGGTGAGTCATGGATGAAGACGACAGCCAAGATGAGCTGATCAATCGCAGTACATCCCACAGCAAAGGAAAAAGAGCAGCTTTGTGGACCATCTCAGGTAGCTTCTTTAAAAAAAAAATCATCCACACCCTTTCATAATATTAACATCATGTCAAATTGTTTTTTTCAGATGACTCAGATGACCAAGAGGAGGAATCTGAGGAAGGAGAGTCAGATAGTGGTGATGAGGAGGAAGATGATGTGAATCAAGATGAAAATGAGGAGGGGGAAGGTAACTGACACTTGTTAATGTGAATGTGTGTTTATGATGTACCTTCTTTGCTGAAGGAACGTTTTTATTGTGTTTTTCTGCTGTAAATATAATATCTTTTTTTTTCAATGTTATTAGATGATGATGATGAGGAAGAGGAAGAAGATGCGGAACATGAAAATGGAGCTTTTGGCGGAACCTCCGCGGATGTCGAAGGAATGAGCTCAGATGAGGATAGTGAAAGGTGTCCAATCTGCCTGAATTCGTTCAATAGCCAGCCCGTTGCAACACCAGAGAACTGTGAGCACTACTTCTGTTTCGACTGCATCCTCGAATGGGCGAAGGTAGGTCTGAACTTATGTTGCACACCCTTAGGAGATGCAGCGTTTTTTGTTTTTATGACTAGAGGTGCAACGGTTCACGGGGGAAGTGTTGAACCGTTTTGGTTCGGCCTGTTCGGTTCGGTCCACTTGTGTACTGTTTTGGTTTATTTTTTTCCATTAAATCAGGGGTGTCAAAGATGCAGCCCACGGGCCGAATCTGGCCCGCAAATGGGTTAAATCCGGCCCACGAGATGGTTGTGTAAACTTTATTTTCATACTTTACAATATAGAGTTAAAAAAACCATGTTTGTGAGCAAGTTTTCTCTGTAATCAGTATAAATAAAACAAAGCTGCGCTCAAGGCTCACACAAGAACTTGAATCACATCCTGAAGTTGGCCACCACTCAGGATGTGACTTCTGATGTTGATGTGCTGGTGAAAGCTAAAAGATGTAATGTAAAATGAGTCAAATATACTTTAAGTGCTGCATGAAACTGATCTAGCCATGTGATCTGTAAGCTCTTTGAATCACTAAGGAACGTTTTTTTATTTTTATTTATTTTTCAAATTTTCAAGTACACTTCAGGTGTTGTACTTGTACTATTTTGGAGACACTGTCCTCAGGCTCCAGCTTTGTTTTATATTGATTGTATTAAAACAAAGAAAACAATCTGAAGTTGTTTTTAATTTACCGGTCCGGCCCACTTGGGACTAGATTTCCCTCAATGTGTCCCCTGAGCTAAAATGAGTTTGACACCCCTGCATTAAATAATGAAATTTTATTTGTGTGATTTAAGTGCAGCAGATAAAAATTCCTAGGCGAGTTTCTGCATGGACGCTGTATTGAGTGATGCATGATGACTGTACGCGCCCGATCTCCATTTAAAAAATGCGATCTGCAAATTCTGATCAACGCCTTTCAGAGTGGATCAAATCAGCTGGCTGTCGCCGCTACTGCGGAGCCTGTAGAGATGCTGAACGGAGCGTCGCCCCTCCCTCCCTTCTCTCACACTGCACATAGTGGCAAAAATGTAAACAAACATGTCTGCTGAACTTTTCCCCTGTGACGAATGATGGAAAAATGTCATCCTACAATGAGAAATACTGCGTGGAGGAAGCTCTTTATTTAAGACGAGTTTTAAAGAAGAAACTCTGGGCGGTGTGAGGTGAGTTTTTAAGGGTCGCACTTGCTGCAGGAATAAAAACACGGAGCATCAACGGTCAAACTCATCACTTGTCTGTATGAGCGTGACACTCATAGCTGCACAAATAATCTGTGAAATAATTAAAGACATCATGCTAGATCAGCAGCCTGTGATGACACCTGGTTCTGCTCACTATAGGAGCCGCTTTAGATATTTAAAAAATATAATAATAAGATACCAAAAATGAATCAAACCGAGCTCTTCAAAACACTGAACTGAACCGAATACAATTTTAGCTTACCGTTACACCCCTATTTATGACAAATGCTTCTCTGCATTTAAACCCTTCCTCTCTCTGTTTAGAATGCAAACTCATGTCCTGTAGACCGCATCGCCTTTAACAACATATACCTTAGGAAATGTCATGGAGGAAGAGTAAAGAAAGTGGTGAGTTGAAAATAAAACAGCTGTGCTTGTGTATCTGTGTTGCATTCAGTATATTCGATTATGTTGTGTTTTTCAGATAACCGTGCAAAAGCCAGTGAAAGCCGGGCAGGAGGAAACGGTAAATGTGGACCTGGAGCAAACCAACTGTGAGGTGTGCGGGGGCAGTGATCGCGAGGACCGCCTCCTTCTCTGTGATGGTTGTGATGCAGGGTGAGACTGACATTTTATAACAAATAAACCTCTTTGTGGTCTTAAAGGCCGTTTTGTTTCTTCTTCTATTACCATCCTTTCTGTTCCACAGGTATCACATGGAGTGCCTCACACCTCCTCTTGACTCTGTTCCTGTGGAGGAATGGTTTTGTCCTGAATGTGAAGCCAATAACCGTCACTCAAGTAAGTATTTTATATCTTTTTATTATTTAAGTTATCTTTAACATTTTCAAGTTGTTATTATAAGGACTTAACTGGAAATTAAATAGTTATAGAGAGTTATTCTGTGGCTTTCCATTGGATGTTTAAGAGGGGAGTAACGTAATAGGAGCGTTTTAACCATGAGCCTGTCCCACTGGGATCTGGAGAACTGCAAGACAGCGTGAGATTTCAGAAGATCACGCGATAACAAGCAAGGAGAAAGACGACAGCGTGTATAAAAAAAAAAGGTCTATTTTCGGTTCTGTTAAACCTCGGCTATGGAGGTTTTACAGGTAATGACATAATTTTTTTTTTTACTAGTTCAACAACTGGAAATCTGCCTGGGACTTTTATTTTGAAAGTTTCCAGATGTTTTACTCGGGTTTCATGTTTGACGTCCTGTCTGTCCCAATCTGAACTGCTGAGCTCGACGTGTTGTGGAAATGTAGCACGAAAACGATAGTCGAGGTGGAAATTTAGCAGAGTGACGCTTCCAAAAGCCGATGCTTCAGGGCAGCTGGAAACGCGTTCATCCACTATAACAGAAGCTAGTTGCGGCGTACAACGCTTTGCAAATGTTACATGGTGCTTACACATCTGGAGGAAAGGCCCAGTTAGAGGTGTCAGCCATAGAGATTGGCTCCAGATGTGTCTTTAATATTCTGAAATTAGCATCACTGCTAATATGAATTAGGAAAATCCTCTCAATATATAGAATAAAAACATTACGACTTGATAAAATTGGGTAACTATGACTCACGGTTTATGTTTTTGTTAAATATGAATTTGCTACATTATTTGTATTTATTTTTCTGTTGTAAAACGTCAAGTTTATTCCTATTGAGTGTTTAATTGCAGCGTACCGATGTGTTTCTTCCTCAGGAGGATCAGCGGAGGAAGTTAGTGATGCAGACAGTCTCTCCTCTCCTGCCCGTCCGGCCACCAGTAGGTCCCAGCCTCGCTCTGCAGGCCCCACCAGAGCTATCGCCCGCACCCAGCAGAGCGAGAGGGTTCGAGCCAGTGTCAACCGGCATCGAATCACGCAGGCACGCACGTCACAGGTTTGGCATGAGGCGTGATGCTTCAGTCTTGGCTTATTTCCTAACCCTCCACCACGGCAACACACGCCTTGTTGGATGTTGAAGTCCCGAACGTAGAAAGTTTGCAAACTTAACTGGTGATACTGACCCTGTTGTGTGTTCAAGGCATGTACTGGAGCTGTGCTTGCACAACAGAAGTGTGTGAAAGCAAAGCAGCAGAGTGATGCAGTGATTTCTTTTGTAGTTGGCTCCAACATATCTGATACAATCCACCTGGCTCGATGAAACTATTAACGCTGTCGTCGCCGGGCTCAACACGGCTGTGTATGTACGGGACATCACGTCACAGGCCCCATCGAGCCGCAGACGCGCAACACGTGAGAACACACGCAAGAGCAATCGTAGCATCAGAGGTGATGATACGAGAGTCGTGATTGGTTTGTGATGTCTTAACCGATGGAGCAGGAAAACGCAGGAAAGTGAAAAGTAAGAAGACGGCGTCCGCTAAAGGCAACAAAGAGGGAAGCACAGTGGCCAAGCGGAGAAGACGGAGAGCGAGGAGGAACAAATCCAGGAAAAAACTTGTGAGTTTCTCAAAATTCTTAGTTATTTGAAACATTTCAAGCAACAATCATGGTTACAGCTTTTTACCTGTAAGGAAACTCATTTGATCTTTTTGTTCTAGATTTTGAAAAAGACAGCCACTCCTAGAAGCCGCATTGCAAATAATCTTGGGATTGTTAAGGACAAGAAGAGCTCCTCCCTCCCGACTGTTTACCGCCCATCAGAGCACACGCTGAGCAGCATGCGTGCCGACATCGGAGCTGCGTCCCTCTCGATCTACGGAGATCCATTCGACCTGGATCCATTTGTGGATCAGTAAGGAAAAGTAGCTGTTAGATTATATGAGGTGTCTTTGGTATATTTCACATTTTAATCTGCAAAACTACTGGTTTGTGTTTTATTTTATTTTATTTTTTTTGGGTATCACGTAAATATTCCAATAGTTTCATTACCTTTGTCTTGTTCTAACGCTTGGCACGGTCATTGTTTTAATACGTAAAATTACAATTGTCTCATTAGCTAAAATTAACAGTATATATAAGTGAATGCATGCCGTTGCAAATATTTACTGTTATTGTTTTTGCGTGCATCATTTTGGTGTATGGTGCACCTTTGACCAGTGAGAGGGGGGAACAGGAAGCCCACGTCACGTCGCTGTTGGAGGCTAAGAGGCGAGGAATCTCTCGCTCTGCCCTTCGTTCTCACCAGCCAGTGGCTCGACCGGTTTCCGCAGGCCTGTCCAGGTAGCACGCTTTTCAAAATAAAATTTCAGTTGAATCTTTTTGAAGTTAAATTGTGTAGATTTTTTTTTTCTTTTCAAAAAGATGAAAAACTGGTTTTTACTACACGTGTATACGTTAAACCAGGGGTATTCAGTTCTGGGCCTGGAGGGCCGGTATCCAGCTTGTTTTAGTTGCAACACACCAGATTTCAATCAGCAGGGAATTTACAGGCTTCTGCAGAGCCTGATGAGCTGCAGCACGTCATTCAACCACTGAATCAAGTGTGTTGGAGCAGCAAAACCACTAAAACATGCTGGATACCAGAATCGAATGCCCCTGCGTTAAACCGTTAAGTAAAATGATGATGAAACATTTGCACACTTTAAAAGTCCTATTTCCCTTTGTTGTGTTGTAGTAGGAGAAGCATGGATGTCCCTCGCTCAGCGGGTGTTGTGGAGGCAGCTCCTGTTCCTGACCTGCTGGGCAGCATCCTGTCTGGACAGAGCATGCTCTTGATGGACAGTTCTGATGTTGTCATTAATCGGGATGGTTCACTTAAAACGGCAAAGCCAAGTAAGTGCATCTGGTGCACTTTTCAAAAACGTAAACAGTTATTTGTACCTCTGTGCAGCTACACAATAAGATGACTTTATTTAATTCAAAACAAACAAAATTACAGTGAAGTCTTTGAAAATAATCCTACGTTGTGCATTTCTTCCCTTTCAGTGCTTCCTAATACGCCGATGCCAAATACAAGGACTGTTTTACAAAGCAGCAGTTCAGGAGACGCCAACATCGCCGTCAGCCCAGGGTTTTCCTCTTTCCACCACAATGGAAATATTCCAGGATCCTCCCATACCTCTCCAAATGGAACTTTGTCCCAGAACTCTTCCCATTTACCCTCCTTAGCCAATCACATCCAACCAACTCCTCTTAATTTACCACCTAGAGGAAATCCAAGTTTTCCACCTATTAATCCAAACGTATCGGCCCTGTCTCCTCGTCATTGGGAGAACAATGAAGTCGGAGTCCCAAGAGAAGCCGCCTCATCCGTCCAACCCACCCAGGACTCCAACTCCAAAAGCAAAGGAGTAGCTCCGTCGCAGTCCCAAACTAAAAAGGCTTCGGTAAAACCCACGTGGGTGGATGTGTCTGTACTTCCTAGGATACCAAAAATAAAACGAGAGCGTGGTAATGTCATAAGCAATGGGGCTTGTCATGGTGGTAATTATGGTAGTAATAGAGTTGGTAGTGATGGAGGAAGTACTAGTAATGGTTCTGGGTTACCTGAAAGTAGCATGAGTAGTCTCTCAGGGGATAAAGGAAAGCAGCAAAGTGTAGATCAGCAAAAGGGTCACACAGGGGGTCAGGCTCAGAAGAGCAGGCCTGAAAGGACGAGCTCATCATCAGCCTTTTCTAATTCATTCTCCTCTTCCTCCTCTTCATCTGGAACATCTGCCAGCCAATCCCGACATGCCTCATTTTCCTCATCTTCATCAGTAAGTTTCCGCATTAATTCCAGTGGCAATTCCTGGCATGCAAGGCATCTGAGTATGACATCATCATCTTCTGGGAGCAACGTATGGGAACAATGGAAAGATGAAGAACAGGAAGTAAAGAAGAAACGGCTACACAAGGACAAAAAGGAGCCGATAGCTTTCCGTAACACCTTCAGCGAGGAATCGGAAGATAATAACATATACGACCCCTTTAATCCTACGCAATCAGAGTCAAGTAACTCGGGCGGTGAAGCAGAGAGCCCGCGCTTGAAACGCAGCCCTCAGAGTGCCACACGTGAAAGGAAATCTTCAGTTTTAGAGAACACCAACGGGTCGGATAGGAGCGAGCCGGATCTGGTTCAGCTGAAAACCGAAACACGGGAGGCTGAAGTTTCACAGGAAGAACCTGGTTGTGCTCGGATTTCTGTATCTCAAGAGAGGGGATTCTCGGAAGATTGCGTCAAAGTGAAACAAGAATCCGAATTAACAGACTTAAACACAGAAACTGTTTTCTTTTACAATAAATTTAAGAAAGAACCAAGTTCAGAGGAGTCTGACGGAGAGGAGTCTGAAAGTTATGACGGTCGAGTAAAAAAGGAGAGAGAGATAAAAACTGATGCAAAGGACAACGCAGCGCCTGCTCGCCACAGCTTTGATCAGCTGGACGCGGAGCAAGAGGTTGAAGACGAGCATGCAGAACATCTCGGTGGATCTTTTAACGTCCAGGATGATTCATCAGCATCCACTTCTACAGCCGCTAAGAAGAAGCAAACAGAAGAAGCAAAATCGGATTCTACGTCCTGTTCCAAGCATCCATTTAAAGATTCGGGTCATAAGAAGCCAAGCTACAAAACTTCCAAAGAGCAACAGTCTAGTCGTTTTGAGACGGATGCAGGCAGAAGAGAAGATCGTCATGGCTCGGATAAAGGAGGCAAAAAGAAAGAATGGGACAGAGACAGAAACTCCAGGCGGTCGCAATCGAGAGAAAGAAGAAGGGTTCGTTCATCCTCGGACGGATCTCGGTCCAGCTCTCCTGATACAACCCGGAGGAGGAGGCGGCATTCCAGGTCACGATCTACAGACAAAACAAGGAAAAGGCGATCCAGGTGTGTGACAGTTAGTGGAGTTTGTATGGTTCCGTGTGCAATTTATCACAAAGAGTGTGTGTTTTTAAAGTGTGAGTAATTTTAATCCGCATTTTAACATTCTAGGTCGCTTTCAAGCTCTAGCAGCAGAGAACACTCAAGAAGGAAGAAGCATCAACAAACGAGCAGGAGGAGGAGCGAGCACAAAGAGAGGGACTCGGACAAAAGACGAGTGTCTAAGGACAAGAGGCGCGGTCGATCTCGCTCTAGGTCGCGCTCTAGGTCAAGGGAAAGGAGGAAAGATTGCTCCAGGTCACAACAGATGTCTCTCTCATCTAGGGACAAAGTGGAGTCACCGTCTAAAATCAGGAACAAACAGAGGAGCAGATCCAGATCCAGAGAGAGAATGAAAGATGAGAGATCGTCCAGAAGTTCAGCAAAAATGTCAGATACGTGTGGCTCGTCCTCTAGAGATGCAGCTCGCTCACAGGAAGGAACAAAGACGAGTAAAGTTCCTGGAAACACAGGAGATGCTAAATGTGGGAAAAAACAGGAGTTGGCGGCCATCTCCTTTATCTCTGAAGTCAAAAAGGAAGAGATGGATTATGATTCAGAGAGCCAAATCATCCCTACAGGTGATCCAAATGAAATAAAGAACGAAAAAGAAGCTAAAATAGAAAAATCTGTGGATATTTTTGAGGATTCTTTCACCCCTGAAGTAATTGAGAGAGAAGAAATGGATACAACCTACGTGGTAACACGTGAATTTATTGATGATGTCATTGAGGATCCCAGTAAGACAGAATATGGCGAAACGATGGAGTCAGAGCCCAATCCAGTGCCATTAAGCCCCTTACCTCCTACCTCCTCACCTACAGCAGACATCCCAGACCCAGCATCTGAGCCTGGTTTAGGAGACCCTAGCAAGCAAAACCCGGTTTGTTCAATAGAAGGTTCTGTGAAACAGGAGCCATCTGACTCTGATGATGATTTTAACGTTGACATGATGCTGGATAGTCTCGATTATGTAAACCCGGAGCAAACAGAGGGGAGTGGTGCAGCTGTCAAGGAGGAGAAGGAGGCGGTGAAGGTGGAAGAGGAGCAGGTCCCAACTATGGTGGGCTCCAAGTCCAAGACTCAGGTGAAACGGGTTACCTGGAACATCCAGGAGCCTGAGGGGCCTCAGCCGGAGAAGTCACAGAGCAGTAAGTTTTCCTGCTGAATTGTTTCTCTCCAGTAGATTATTTATACTCTCAATTAAAGATATAATCGAACGAAGATCAGAAATGTGTCATTTATGTGCATTTTCTTTTTTTTTTTTTGCACAGAACTGGCACTTTATAAGCGCAAGCTGAAGCAGGAAGGATCTCGTAAAACCTCTTTGGCATTCCAGGCAGCCCATCAGGTGCGAATGACCAACGTGTTGCTGACCTGGTTCTTCTATTATTACCTTCTTATGGGCCATTCCCATCTGTACCGGGTCGGCCCGGGCCGGGTAGCCCCAGTCGGCCCCAGCCTGGCCCGGTTGATTCCACACATCCTTGTCTTAAGCCCATGTGGGCTGATTCTACCCACCAATCAGAGGCTTGCTCTAATGGAAGGTGTGAATGGGCTGATTCTACCCACCAATCAGAGGCTTGCTCTAATGGAAGGTGTGAATTTGCTGTCAGCAGTGGGCGTGTTGGCCCTGGTCGGCCTGAAGCAGTACCCCTCGGGAAGAGGGCCGAGAATGAGCCTTGGTTGGCCCGGGAAAATTCCAGGCCACCCAGATATGTAAACAACCTACGCTACCCGGCCCGGGCCGACCCGGTACAGGTGGGAATGGGGCTTTAGTGGCCTGGTGGTATGAGCGCTCGCCCAGGGACTGGGACGAATCCCTGTCGGGTCATATCAAAGACTTTAAAAATGGGACCCAATACCTCCTTGCTTGACACTCTGCTTTAAGGGGTTGGATTTGGGGGGGGGGGGGGGGGGGGGGGGATGATTAATAAAGTATCTTTGAATTTGAATTGAATAAATGGTTCCCGAGCGCAGCCACTGCTGCAGCTCATCGCTCCCCAGGGGGTGGGTCAAATGCAGAAATATTGTTTCACCAGCATGTGATGGTGACCAAAGGGACTTTAACTTCATTCCAGTGATTAGAAAAGTGTGTAGCGTGAGTAACAACCTGAAGGGGGCAGTGTTTATCACAAAGAACCAAGTTGGTTCAGTGGAAGTCATGTGGTAGAAACTAAAACTGATACTGAAGAGTTTTCAGATGAAATGAAAGCAGAACCGAGCAGATCAGCCATTTCAAATGAATTTCATCATTTGATCTTATTTGCCTTTTAAACAAGCATAAAACCAGTGTTTTAAATCAGTCACATACATATGTTACATTATTATACAAACAAGAATCTGGTGTGTAGGAATAACTTGGTAACATGGATTTTAAATTAATAGTTTTTGGATTATCTAGTAAACCTTTAGTCCAGTTGTTGTTGAGTTGAATTGTTTTCAAGCAGCTTTGGTTTAAGTTCAGTCTGATTCTCCAGGATGTTGTCAGAGATCCAGCCCAGAAAAGAGCTGCTTTCCTCAGTACCAGTTCAGGTTCTGGTGGTCTACAGCCAAGGGAGTCGTCGACAACTGGACAAGGAGAAGCCGAGGAAGGTGATTTCTCCAGAAAAGACAAGGTAGATATAACATTTAATGGGTTTAGCCGCTATGGAAACAAAAAAGCTGTGCTACATTTATTTTCACGTTTTGTTCTCACCAGCATTACTTGAAAAAGCTGCACATGCTGGAGAGGGCTGTGGAAGAGGTCAAGCTAGCCATCAAACCTTTCTACCAAAAGAGAGACATCAACAAAGAAGAATACAAAGAGATTCTGCGCAAAGCTGTTCAGAAGGCGAGTCCAAAGAAATCAATAAAAATAATAAATAAATAAATATACAAAGAAAAGCTTTGGATGGTTTCAGGTTTTACTTTGTGTAAAAAATCTTGTGCTTCTTTTCTGCAGGTGTGCCACAGCAAAAGTGGGGAAATCAATCCAGTCAAAGTGGGAAATCTTATCAAGGCGTATGTGGAGAAATACAAACATGCTAGGAAACATAAAAAAGGAGACGACTCGGCAAAGGCACCTGAGGATCAGACCGAGGCGATGAAAATGTCTGAGAGTCCATGAGGTGTCATTAACAAGTCACTGTAATTGTTGGATCTCGAAATGTTTGAAAAATATTGTTTCACTAGACAAGTTTGTCTTCAGTGATGAATCTTGTATTTCATTAGTAATTCGACAACAAATGATCTGGAAAAAGGACTTGAATGCTGCCCATTTGTGTCTTTTCTTGATCTGTAACTGCCAGAAACTGGTCTGTTTGTGTTTGTTCGACTCAGAAATGTGGCGGTATTGCCTTAAGGAGGCATAACTGAAAGAATCTTCCATGGAAATATAGATTTATTAGCTATTATCACTGGTGGAACGTGGTGTGATGCTCGATACATTTTCTTTGTGTTGTTATTCAAGGGATGGGTTATTTATGCGTGGTAAAAGTGCAGCACATGCATATTCGAGAGGCTGGTCACATTAAGGAGAGACGATATGCAATTTTTGTAGGAAATGTACGAGTATAATCGATTTTAGATTTCATGTAAATAATTCAGATTTGATATAAATATCTGCGTGTTTTCTTTGTTGCCTGTTGTGAAATTAATTTTGTTTACAGTTGATTTCAGCTTTTTATTTCAGAGGCCGTTTCTTTTTTCCTCACTTCTGATATCAAAATCCATTAAGCTCGATTTAGCTGAACGTAGGACAAGTTGTTGTCATTTTTGTGGCTGTCAAATAACTACATCCATGATTTCAGGTATGGTCTTGTTCTCTGGAGGGTTTTGCTCTTTTCTTTGGCAAAAAGTTTAAAAAAAAAAACAAATCTTCACGTTGATTTTTATCAGAAATGTAAAAACTGGATTTTAGGGAACCAGCAATTATTTTTGTGTATAAAAACTGTCAGAAAGCAGGTAAATCTTCTGGTTGCTTTACTTTTAAAAGTTGCGAGAAAGACGTTTAATACAGAATTGAGCTTAGATTAAAGAGACCAGATGCTATCTTTGTTTTTTGTTTCATTTTTAGCTCAGTAACATTTAGTTGCATTCAATTAACTAATATTTAGCCAAATTTATTGGTATCATTTTATGGATCCATTTAAAGGCGGCGAGTCAAGTCAGAATGTTCAGATATGGCTTTTGGTTTTTAACATTACATATATTAGCCTCTGCAGCGTTTAGTCCTAGCCCAAACTTGTCTCCAATTAAAGTATCACGTACTGTATGTATATTAGTTAACAGCCTGCTGTAAAGATGGACTTCTGGGGTGTTAATTCCTGTGTTTACTTGATGTAACAAGCCAGGTGTTTCTCAGAGGAAATGGAAATAAAAATACCTGAATGTAAATTGTCTTTTTTTCAATACAGGCTCTGAATACGTCGAGTTGTCCTTCGGCTGTTTGGGAGCTTGAAATACGATTATTTGAAGATGAGTTGTGAGAATTAAATAAAAAGGAAGCAATAAATGCATTTTTTTAACTCGTATTATAAACTGACATGTAGAGTGCCTTTCTGAGCCAATGGACTCCAAAGCGCTTTACACAGCAGTCATTCACCCACTGGTGGTGAGGAGCTGCATTGTAGCCACAGCTGTACTGACGAGGCGAGGCTGCCTTGGGTTTGAACCGGCAACCCACCAGATACAGGTCGCTCATTACAATTCCTCCTTTTTGGAGTCATATTTCACAATCTTGCTCAAAACAACAAACTTATTCACTCTTGGCCAGGCATGACAGCTTTATTTATGTACATTAGACATTTCATACACAGAAGCAATTCAATGTGCTTTCCGGGTGCAAGATTAGCAAGAACACATTAAAATCAACGTGGCAACATAAAACAGCACGTTTTAAAATTACATTTAAACACACAAATTAAATTATATGTAAGAATAAAGAAAAAAAGGCTGAGTTGAAGGGTGAGCAGTTACAGTGCAGAAGGTGAAGCATAAGAAACATTCAAGGCTGATGAATACATGAAAGGTGTTTTTATTTTTATTTAAAAGTTACCAGAGTTGGGGCACATTTGAGGTCATGTACAGAAGCTGGTTCAATTCAATTCAAGTTTATTTATATAGCGCCAAATCACGACAGGAGTCGTCTCAAGGCACTTCACATAGTAAACATTCCAATACAGGTCAGTTCATCAAAGTTTTTTATATAAGGAACCCAGCAAATTGCATCAAGTCACAGGGGCGTGTCCAGGGAGTGGCCTGGGGTAGAACCTACCACCCTTGGAATCTTATTGGCCACCCCAGGCGCCACCACACTAATTTACCTTTAAATAGGCTTTTCATTGTCCAAAAAAGGCTTGGAGGTAAAACAAAAATAGCATAACCATTGGTGCCACCCATGCACAAAGTTGTGCCTCACCTGGACCACCCCATTTTAAAAGATCTGGACACGCCACTGGCAAGTCACTGACTAGTGTCAGTGACTTTACAGCAATCCTCATACTAAGCAAGCATTTAGCGACTGTGGGGAGGAAAACTCCTTTTTAACAGGAAGAAACCTCCAGAGGATCCTGGCTCAGTATAAGCAGCCATCCTCCACGACTCACTGGGGATCGAGAAGACAGAGCACACACACACACAAACACACACACACACACACACACACACACACACACACACACACACACACACACACACACACACACACACACACACACACACACACACACACACCAAGTAATGTTTCTATGGTTACTTTGTGATTTCTTAGTAAATATTCTATTTGGTGAGAGATAAACTTTATTGTATTTATCCTAGTGAATCTATATTTAAACGGGTAAACTAGTAGTAGCACATTCAATGTCAAGGAAAGTTAATGTTATTATCAGGAGTGGGAGAAACAAGACTCCATCCTTCTGCAGCAGATTAGCTAAAAGTAGCTTCACCCTGCTTGGTTCTGCTCTACAGGTTGTCTTCTTAAAGAGCAAGGCACCCCAAATCAAGGTTATTTATTTATTTATTTATTTATTTATTGCTGATAAACTGTATAAATGAGTGTTTAATCGTGCTGTAGACACGTGTGGTCAATAATTTAGCACTTTAGTGCATCTTAGTTAGAATTTAAATATTCTGCCTCAAACTGTCAGGGTTGTGCTGTCTTCAGGTAAAAAATCTACACTGCATTTGAATTGAAGTCTGCCATCGCTATTGGCTAAGAGGTACACTGTGATGTTAGCTGGTACATTATGATGTCATGTCCTTGTGAGCCTGTGTGTGTGTATTTGTTAGCGGTTTCACCCTCTCGGTCTGCCAGACAACAGCATTTGTTGCAATTTTCAAACAGGAAGTGAGGGTGGAGTAATACTCTGGTAGGGGGTGACTTGTGCTTTAAGGATCTCAGAGCCCTGCTGGGTGTATATAATGCAGGGAGATCCATATTTTAGTCTCATTCCATTGAGTGATTTATAAACTAGTAGAAACACTTTGAAATCCATTTTGCACTTTACTGGTAACCAGTGTAGAGATTTAGGAACCGGAGTAATCAAGCTGTTTGATTTTCATTCTCTTATTAAATTAGCAAAGAAAGTGATGAATACACCCATTAGTTTTGAGCATTTTGGTGATTTTCAAAAATCGGAAATATGCTGAAGCCATCCCCAAATATCAGAATTATAATATAGGTAAAAAAAAAAAACTCATTTACGTCTTGCTTTTATTTTTGCACCATTGGAGATGAAACTACTTTTTAATTTTGTTGTACTTGTACAATGACAATAGCCTGTATTTAAATGGTAAAATGCATTCTATTCCATATATATATATGTGTGTGTGTGTGTGTACAAAAATGGAAAGCTCCAAATTTAGTTTTTAATTTGTAATGTCCAGAAATGGTCAGTTTTCACCTACATATTGACCTACATGCAACCTACAGGTGGCCGTCATCTACAGGCATGAATCTGCCTCTGTGCGTCTCTTAATCTTCCAAGTTGCAGGAAAATATTCGACACTGCGTGTTTACACTCAGATTGTCAACATCATGTTCCTTTCTCACCACCTGGAGCGGGTACTGCATGCCTTTGTAATTTCTAGGCTTGATTACTGCAACTCTCTTTATTCAGGGTTGTGTCAGTCATCACTGCGTCGCCTACAGGTTGTGTAGAACAGCGCAGCAAGGTTCCTGACTGGGACCAGGAAACGGGACCACATCAGTCCGGTGCTGACCTCCCTGCACTGGCTTCCGGTTTGCTATCGTGCACAATTCAAAATCCTCGTCTTTGTTTATCATTTCTTCCAGGGTGGTCCTCCCTATCTAGCCACACTCCTGAACAGACATTCCCCATCACGCGCTCTGCGCTCCTCTGACCAAGGCCTGCTCGCTGTCCCTCGTTCTAAGGGTCGTACTCGTGGGGACCGGGCTTTCTCAGTCCTAGCACCGTCTCTCTGGAACCAGTTGCCACCCTCAGTTAGGGTGTCCCCATCTCTGCCAGCCTTTAAGAGTCACCTAAAAACACACCTTCTCCGCTTGGCGTTTCCTGAACATGTTGGATTCGGCCCTCTTCTACGTTGAATTTCTTTCACAGTTTTCATTGGTTCACTCTATCCCTTGTTTTACCCATCTGTCCTGTACTAGAATGTTTCACCTTTTTTTGTAATTTGTATTTTATAATTTGAATTGCTTTTATTTCTGAATTAATCTTATTTTTGATTTATTCACTATATTTGTACTTCTACTATACCATGTTCAGCACCTTGGGCTTCCTGACAGGGTTGTGGAAGGCGCTTTATAAATAAAGCTTTCATTGATTGATTGATTGATTTCTCAAGGTCCTTCTGTGCCAAGTCTGTCTTCTTATCTAGGCCATCCTGCACAGAAGAAAGGACTGAACTGTTATAATAGTGAATGAACAATGTGGTTGAATGAACAACTGTTATATGAATAATAATAATAACTTGATTAATCTGTGCTTACATTAATAAGGTTGATTAATCTGTGCTTGAATGACTGGTTTGAAATGAGTGTTTTTATTACATTGAAAGATTTATATATGATGATCAGTAATGTTTGATATGACAAGGTAATCATCATCTACACTCAGACACAAGGTTCATTAGAGATAAATTAAAGTTAAACGTTATGACACATACATATTTTCTTACCCACAAATCAGAGCATCCTGTATCTGAAAGAAGGCGTGATGTTCTGAGGTTTGCTTGTTAACACCTCTTAACATGGCACGTTCCGATTGGACAAGTAAACCATAACATGAGAATATTAAAACAGAGCTCACTTCACCGTGAGTCAGTTCCAGAGAAAGCTACGGAACGGCCGTCCGGAGCGAAACCTCTTTAACCCAGAGCATTTTTGACAAGCTGTCAAAAACCCTGCTACACGCTGAAGCTGACACAGCAAACGGTTCCTGCAGAACAAAGCTGACCCAGTTCCGACTCCCTAAGAGTCCTTCTAGACGCAAACAATTCCATCGATCTGTTGTGACTCGGGAAACATCTCTGGACTGGAGAGTCGGTGCTGCGGTTAATCTACTGAATCTCTGTGCCCAGAGGTCATCCGACCTTCTTGACCTCCGGATCTGCGAAGAGGGTCTTCCAAAAGGGTGAGGTAGACACAGCATGAATCGCGTCTGATGTGGTTTTGATAAGAATCAACTTCCTGGTTAAAGCAAACCAAATTCTCCTTTTTACACCCAGAACTCAGTTCTTCTGGATGCGAAAGTTCTGATAACCTCACATTCACACAGTCACCATACATTACATCCCATCCACCTAGATCCATCCATCACAGTAGTCTTAGTTAACTTGTCATGTTTTAATTGTTTGGAAAATAAATTCTTACTTTTTATAAACTTGACTCTCTTCTTGAATTAATGCAAAGTCTTCTACAATCCCAGAATAAACAAATCATTCTAAACCTTCTGGTTAAAGACCAATCAGACTGGATTCCCATATTTATATGGAAATTCACATCACATTGGTCAAAGTGTAGGGTAGTATATTAAGCTTTAAAAGCACCCAAATACATACAATAATTACTACGCTACAAATATATTTATTAGATCACCTTACATGATAAAGATTACAACATTCAAGCTTATTTAAATAATGCAAATTCTATTTGTTACGACAAGAAAAGTAACCAGCAGTAAAGGTTTAACTGATGTTTAAACAGAACGTAACACACATGAAGAGTAATATACAAATATTTCTATCTTTACATATAATAAATATATTAATAAAACCTAAACAGGATTTACTTTCTTATAACAAACAGATGATACCAGCTCAACAAATCATTACTTTTAAACGGTAATTTCTTCTATAAAAATGGGTTTGTAACAGTTTGCTAATGGATGAGCTTGTTTCTACTCATGTAGTGGTTAAAAAAGTCAGTTTATCTATTATGTTATGGACATAAAGTGATTCTCACTTAAGCTACTTTAACACAAGAAATCAGATTTCACATCTGATTAAGGAAGGGTGCACTAGTCAGGTGTGCCGGCTCTTCGGCCGCAGGCGGAGAAAACACCGAGCTGATGAGATCAAAGAGGCTGTTGTGGGAAATCTGCAGGCTGACGTTGGTGCTGTGAAGAGAAGAAGCCCCCTCCGCCTGGGCGACGTCGTGAAGATGTTTACAGATCAGAGGCACCACCTGCAGGGAGGAAGGATTTGTAGTTATGCTGCTATAGGCTTAGACTGCTGGAGGACACACTGACCACTTCTCACACTCTACTGCATTCTTCTACAGTCTGCTCTTTAACTGTACTATTTTGTGCAATTTCAGCTGTTAACTTTATTTTCTCTAAGTGTTTTTCTCCCCAGAAGAAGCTACAACGATGTTCTGCTGAGCTGTGGTGGCCTCATGGAGGAGGCCATCGACTAGCACACTGCTGCTAACCACTTAAACATTCTCTCTCTCCTGATAATAACTTTTTGTTTTCATTGACTTTTGATGTGCTAATACTAGTTTATCCGTTTAATTATAGATCCACTAGGATAAATACAATAAAGTTTATCTTTCACCAAATAGAATATTTACTAAGACATCACAATATAACTGTAGACACATTACTTGGTGTGTGTGTGTGTGTGTGTGTGTGTGTGTGTGTGTGCGTGTGTGTGTGTGTGTGTGTGTGTGTGTGTGTGTGTGTGCTCTGTCTTCTCGATCCCCAGTGAGTCGTGGAGGATGGCTGCTTATACTGAGCCAGGATTCTCTGGAGGTTTCTTCCTGTTAAAAGGGAGTTTTCCTCTCCACTGTCGCTTTATGCTTGCTTGGTATGAGGATTGCTGTATGCAATTTGCTGGGTTCCTTATATAGGAAACATTATTTCTGATTGGCTTAATGAACTGAACTGAATTGGAATTTTTATTATGTGAAGTGCCTTGAGACGACTCTTGTCGTGATTTGGCGCTACATAAATAAACTTGAATTGAATTGAATTGAAACGTCTATGAGCTAATACGAGCTGAAAAAATTCGGTGACATGCTGGAAGATGTGAACAGAAGTTTTACTTTCACGGTGATGAGCTTCTTTTCCAGAGGTTTTCCATCAGGGAACTTTTCTCCAAAGCACATGTTTATGGTGTATTCGGGAGAGCCGCCATTGTTTTCCGTGAACTGCTTGAGCTCTAAAAGCAGACACATTTGGGCCGTTAGTTTCTGTTTAGACTTGACGTTGGTTTGATTAAAAAGATGAAAACCCACCATGAACAAATTTGTTAAAGCTGAGGAGCTCCACCATGGTGTTTTTGGGTAATTTAGATGGGTTAGGTTGAGCAACACTGGGGTCGCTGGTGCTGGCGAAGACGTGGCATTTGTCCTGCCGCAAAGCGTAGATACCAGTATCTTGCACCTCCAGGAGAAGACCACGCTGGATGCTGTTGAGGATGCGATTAGTGTATTCGACCTGTGATGAAAAAGAACGGGACAGGAACAGATCACATCACAGAGGATGCATAAAAACAAGTTTTAAAGCGACGCAAATGAAAAGGTCTTCCATGTTTGGGTGTACCTGCTTGTGATCCAGCAGACCCTCAGTAGACGGAAAGCAGATGGAATGCAAGCCCGGCATTTCGCTGTGGTAGTGGAGCTGAAGACAGTTGGTTTGCACCGTCGTCTTTAGCATTTTTTTATTTCTGTAGTAGATGAATACCTCAAAGTCATACAGACTGGGCTGCTGAGGTGAACCGAGGACGGGGGCATGGTTTACTGTAAAGAGAGGGCGGGGATATTTATAGGTGCAGTTCACTCATTTAATCAATTCCTTTGCAGTGGTCTCTAGTAGGAATGAATGCCTTTTAAGTCGTACTCTGGGGAAAAGACACCCTGGTGCGCCTGCTTCGGGATCTATAAGAATGCCAGATCAGAGGAGAGCTTCAGACGGCAGGGTTTGGAGTCTTATTTCCTGAAATTTGGACATCTCACCTCTGACTGGGTAAAAGCAATGCGACTCTACTGACCCCGTTGACTTTGCAACATTGATGTTTTATCTCTACAAATAACACAAGCCTGGAACTGTTTTGTCATGTGGTGGAGTTGCTAATTCTAGAAGTTAGCTTCTACTAGCCGAGACGTTCCCTGCTGTTTCCTCGACGCTAAACCAACAACAGCCTTCCCCGTCGTGAGTGTGACGTAGATCTGTCAGGCGTTTCTAATCCTGGAGTTTCACAGTCTATTTTCCTTCAGAAGCCAATGCAGGAGATAGGTGTAGGAGACTATTTTCACGTTCAGCCTGCATGAAAAACTCAGTGACCGATAAATATTAGAAACAATCATTAAAAGTGGTTTTTTTTCGATAAAAAACACCTTTAAAGGATCATTTTTCACAACTTTTTTTGCTTGTTTTCTAATAAATCGCTCAACTCTCTTTGACTGAACATACTGTCGTTGTAGATCTGCTGATCGTCTGGTAAAAATGGCGGGAGGGTCTCTGCTGCAGCAGGATAGTTTCCAAGAACCGCGGGGTCGTGCTGGACACAATTCTCCCCCCACAGCTGCTCATCTGTATCCAAATTCAAAATGGGCTTCTTAGCTTTATAATAAACCACAGACATTGTAAAAAAGGTTGTTTTTAATAGAAATTATACCTGTTGGTTGAGTACCAAGATCCAGAGCCATTAAATCGTTATGTAGGTTATGCTGAGTGGAAAGAGGAAAAAGCGTGAGCATTCGAGTAGATGTCCAACCACTTAACGGAAGTGAAAGTTCCTTAAACTGCACCTCGTTTCCTGAGAGGAAGAACTCTGTGGAAGGGCTGTAAATCTCTGGAGTCATATCACAACCGGAGTCTTGTGTTGGAAGACCCTCAATTTTGTCTGCAATTTGAAGAATGGATCATTATGGTTTTTCTCCCAATAACTCAAAACGATTCCCACTGCTGAGCTGGATCAACGCTCTTACACTCAGTGTTGACAATCTCGTAGATCTTATGAGGGTCGTCTGGATTCTTGGAATCATCTTTGATCATCTTGAAGCGCATGGTGAGGTTGTTGAGAGCACAGCGGAAGTTGGTTTTCCACCTGGCCTTGTCGTTGGGGAACTCGTTGATTTTTCCACTTGCCACTGCCCAGGCCTGTGGACCACAGACACACGCGGCATGAGCCCAAATACGTTTTATGTTTGTGAAACTGGACGTTTGAAATGAATTTTTCATTTTAACGTTATACTTTCAGAGTTTGAATAAAGTTTGGGGCTTACTGTACTCTGAACTTTAAAAAGTAACAACTCAGATATTGAAAATAAAGAAAGTCAGTAGAAAATGCAAATATAAAAATTAAATAGTCTGACAAACAATCTATGGCTTTTCATTTAGCCCCTTAAGCCCTAGGCCTATTTTGAAGCCTATTCCTCGAAAAATGTAGAAATTGTATTTAATTGTAAAAATAGTTTAGATAGCCTTGTAGTGCTGGGTTTGCTGATTAATGTGATGGGAATTATTACTATTTCTTCTGCAGTGTGAGTGTTTTTTGGCCCTTTTAAGGAGCTAACATCACAGGGGACCCTAGGGCTTAAGGGGTTAAATTAGTTAAATGTTTCAGAAATACCAATATAATAGCTCTGAAAGTAAAGGAGCTTCCCATAATGCACTGCTTGATTAAAAAAAGGGTAAATAGCCTGTATTTTTACGACGTTGGTGATGATGAGCTACGACGTAGCTACAGCTGCCCTGGGGCGCACTAACAGAGGCGAGGCCTGCCGAACACCGGCGCCACCAGTCCCTCCAACCACCACCAGCAGGCAAGGTGGGTTAAGTGTCTTGCCCAAGGACACAACAGCAGCTCGGAGCCGGGATCAAACCTGCAACCTTCCGATTACTGGACAACCTGCTCTACCTCCTGAGCTACTGCTGTCTCATTGCTTCAAAAATAAGAGGTCTAGGAATGTTTATTATATTAGGATGATTATTTATTCATTTATTTTACTATTACTACTATTAATACTACTATATTTAGTACTATTGCTACTTCTACTACCACTTGTGTAGTTATTACTATTAATACTATGACTAATACTAATATTATTACTACTACTACTACCACAACAGCTACTACTACTATTACTACAACAAAAATTACTACTATTGCTACTTCTACTACCACTCGTATTGTTATTACTATTAATACTTTGACTAATACTAATATTATTATTACTACTACTACCACAGCAGCTACTACTACTATTACTACAACAAAAATTACTACTATTGCTACTTCTACTACCACTTGTATTGTTATTACTATTAATACTATGACTAATACTAATATTATTACTACTACCACAACAGCTACTACTACTATTACTACAACAAAAATTACTACTATTGCTGCTACTTCTACTACCACTTGTATTGTTATTACTATTAATACTATGACTAATACTATTACAACAACAACAACTACTATTAATATAATTATTACCAATACTACTACTATTTCTATTTGTACTACAACTATAACACCTACTATTACTACTACTATTATTACTAATACTATTACTACAACTGCTACTTCTACTATTACTATAACAACAGCTACTACTACTAGTAGTATAATTACTACTATTGTTAATCATATTTTTATTACTACTACGACTACAACAACTGCTACCACTACTACTATTACCACAACCACAACTACTATTACTACTACTATTTCTACCATTACCCACTAATCATGGTTTCCACCATGACTGGAATGAGTATTATTTTTCAAAAGCCCAACAACAATTTTCCTAAACAGCCAATCCACGACTAGGAAGAGTTCAAAAGCCTCGAACAAAAGACAAATCAATTATTTACGTCATTAATTTCTTATTGAAACAATTAGGTGGTGACACCAGAGGGAAAGAACAGAAGGTGGGTAAGCAGTAAACACAGCAGCTGATTAAACACTCACCCGGAATATTTTACTGTCCTCGTCGTTGCAGTCCTTCCTGGAGTTGTGCTTCCAGGGGACTCTGAACTTGTGCTGGTCCACATAGCGCAGACCGGAGTACTGGCCCGTCTGCACCTGCTCGATCAGCCAGCTGGCAAACTGCGGTTTCGGTGCGCTGGGAGCAAACATGTCAGGTCGAGGCGGTTAGAATAAAACAAGACAGGAAGTGCTTGCACTGCTGTGACATTAATCTGATGAATGCCAGATTATTAGTAAAACCCGCCATACCTTTGCATTGCGTCGCAGAGATATGAAGAACTCTCTCCTGGCAGCTGAACACTTTTCCTGTTTTTATAACATCCATCTGTGACCTCAAGAGGAGTTTCACACGACTCCTCCTCCTCCACTCCCTCCAGACGTGGGTGAGTTTGATTCATTCACAGACGGTTTGTTCCGGTGTTCTGGCACACTGTCGTCTGAGTTGCTCCCGGAAGAAAAACGGAGCTCGTCCTTCGGAAACTTATCCTACTTCCTGTTTGGAAAACTAAGAGGCTTTTACTGGTTGTATTTCATCACGTTTATTGCCTTCTTCTTGCATCATTCCTCATGCCATCACCAGGGGCGTAACCATCATCTCAAAAGTGAGGGGGACAATTTTTTTCAGAGTTATTTATCATCTTCTTGCATTCAATCTTACATTTCTTGGTAGATAAAAATAAAACATTTAATCACTGGTTTAGTTATTAGTGAAGTGGTTCAAAGACAGTAATGATTATTACTATTATTTAATTTTAAAGTTACAGGGCGCCGCCTGCTTAGTTTAAATAGTAGTGGGCAATTGTTTCCAAAAATAAAATTAAAAAAAAGATTCTTGAATACCCAATATTAATAACAGCCACACAACAGCAGTGAACCAACTTTAGTTCTTTAAACTATAAATAATACAAATGATAATTTTAGCAGCCAAACTCAGGTTCAGTTGAAAAAAATGATCCATGAAGATCATTAAGGGCCAAATCACAACACTGAGTATAAAATGTTCAGCAAAACAACAGTGCTGGAAAATAATTATTGCCTAGCACATAAAATTTAATGAGTGTTGCAAAATAAGCCATATAATATATAATGCATTAACATAGACAGTCACACAACACTGAACACAACATTGTAGTGAAATGTGACAGCATATGTGCAAAAATAATCAAGATAAAAAAATGGCATGATAAAAATGATAGATAGATGATAGAAATAATGCAGTAGTCAAATTATATCTGTAAATAAATGATAAACAAATAAAAATATGTACTCTTCCTGGGGTACCTATTAAATTACAGAGTAAAAATAGTTTAAGTGTTAATGAGAAAAGTTCTGAAAGATCTTTGAAAACCCTTTCCTAAGGCCTGCCTGGTTTCTCCCATCTCTTACCAAGTTCTAATCTCTCCTTACCCGTGGAGACCCTCATCACCATCCCTGATGCTGTCCTTTGGTCTGATGTCTCCCCCCTGACTCTGCTCATTCTGTTGTGGCTGTATATGTAAAGGTGGGAAATAAAATATTGGAACAGAGTTAGGATAAGCACCAGTAAGATTACTATGAAAATTAACCTCAAATCTCTTTATGCCATGTTTCTCAGCCACTTATTTTATCTTTTCACCTACAGACTCTCCCTCACACTGCTCTGTCTATGTGGCCAAAAGACAAATAAATGGAAAATGTGGAAAGCAAAGTGTTAAAATAGAACTAGGATGGGTTACAGTGAAAGTGGAAAAAAATGTTTAAGTCCCTTTATGCCATAATTTCTCAGCCACTTATCCTATTCTCGTTTTACCTACAGACCCTCCCTGATTCTCCTGTTTATCGTCACAATGTTTTTTCTTTCAAACATGCGGAAAGTTACGGTGAGCACAAGTTCAGCACAGAAATAAAACAGAATTGGGTTTATTCCCAGCTATAACTAACTAGCAAAGGAGAAACACAGCATTGTTAACTAACATGATGTTGGCTGTTAGGCTACCAAGCTATCAGTTAGCTAACATTATCTGCACGCAAAAGCATAAATCAACTTACACAGTTTGGTTGGAAAAAACTGTGCAAAGTTGGCTGTCTGGCTGCACTGGATGCTCGCGTTAGCCTAAGGTGCGTTTAATGACGGCTCGGACAAATACGTTTCCCCATACAGTATAAACGAATAGAACGGCTGAAAAATGTGCGGAGGACAGAGGACACTGTTATGGGAAGAGAGGGGGACATGTCCCACGCGTACCCCGCGTGAATTACGCCCGTGGCCATCACCAACCCTGAGCTTTATCTTATTGTTGTGACTAGTTATTGACACGTCTCCATCTGGAATTTGCTTTATTAATATAATGAGATATTTGGCTGCTGTCAAAAATATTAATTTAAGCTCAAATTTGCCAAAACAAGCACTTTAACTTTTCCAGTTCGGTATACTGAAACTGATCTACACCTAATAACTTATTCTTCTTAAAGATGCATTTTCCTTTGAAATAAGTTGTGTGGAAAAATTTTAAATGGTAAATGGCCTGTATTTGATATAACACCTTCTAGAGTCTTGGAACCCCCCAAGGCGCTTTACAACACAATCACTCATTCACCCATTCACACACTGGTGGGGATGAGCTACGATGTAGCCACAGCTGCCCTGGGGCGCACTGACAGAGGCGAGGCTGCCAAGCACTGGCGCCACCGGTCCCTCCGACCACCACCAGCAGGCAAGTTGGGTTAAGTGTCTTGCCCAAAGACACAACGACAGCGACAGACTGAGCGGTGCTCGGACCTGCAGCCTTCCGATTACGGGGCGAGCACTTAACTCCTGTGTCACCGTCGCCTGAAAACACTTTATGGTTTATTTTTCAGGACTTTTTAAAATTTCAGATGAACGATAACCAAAATATTTCCTCGTACCTGATGTAACGTGAGGAAATATGGGTTTTCTGTCACAAAGGTGGTGTTGGACTCAGCTGGGTCAAAGCTGGGTCGCTGAGAACTTTCACCCACAGATTAAGACCTGAACGCCAGCGAGTCTGGGAGGAAACCATAACATCTGCCACCTGCAGCTTCGTGCCAGAAGATGTTGTTCCCACAGAAGATGTTGTTCCCATAAAAGTAGTCATAACATAACAAGTCTTAAAACTTTGTTTCTTGATTTTAATGTTAAAGTAACCATTATCATTTTGCTCATTATAAATGTGTTTAATCAAATGAATGGTTCTTATGCTTTGGGTAATTATAATGGCTTAATGAATCCATACTTAAATAATGTTTGTTATCGACCTTCACACACTCAAGCACACAAACACTCACACACACACACCCACACACAGATTCTTACAGTAAACTCCAAACACATTTGCTGACGCACACGTTTGCTTTGAGAAGAGAAAGGTTTTTGGTAAGTTTCAGGCTTATGATTTCAGTTCGTGTTGGACAACAAAAGAGAGTGGACCTGAAAACCAAAGGGGGGGGGGGCAGAGCTGGTTGGCTCGTTTCTCCCCCCTTTCACGCTGTTCCTGTCAGCCAGACAGAATAGCTGAATCGCAACTTCTAACGCAGACTCATTACCGAGTCTTTTGATTTCTGAGTGAACTTAACTTAAGAAAGCGCATCGACAAAACGCTTTACCATCAACATGTACCGAGGGCAACTCTGGACCGGTTCGCGGCGCATCTTTGTCTTCTTTGCCAGCCAAGGTGCCCTGGATGAAACATCATCCTAAGGTGACGTCCCGGGTCCAACAGAGGGTCCGATTTTCGGTGGGGCAAAACACGACAGATAGCGTTTTGATGCATCTTTTCCAACTAAACCTAAGTTTATTCAAACCATCACTTTTCACTCAGACACCTGTTTCTTCCTGAAGCGAAATCAGACGCACACACGCATTCATCTCACCTCATGTTCAATTCTCACGACACTTTGCACACACACGCATCCATAACCACATCCTATTACTCTCAATCTTCATTCACCAACAGAAGGTCTATTTGAGCAAGAGCAGCATATCAACTGTTATTGTCCCACAAAGTTGCCAATGTTGATTGTTATTTCCTGTTTGTCAATTTCAAAATCATTAGTTTAATTTGAAGAATTAAAACTTTTAATTGTCAAACTGGTTTCCTCATTGAACTGAAACACAGACACACAGATATTATCGTCAGTTTATCGATGAAAACAACCTTTGAGTCTTCTTAACAATATAACTGAGTAAAGACAGTTTCTCCTTACAATATGGCTGAGCCAGCCAAAATTTCTCTTTACACTGATCTTAGTACCCCAGGAAACCACCTATTTCCAGCTCTTTCGAGATATTTCTGTGCTTTTAGAAACTTTTAGAGTCCTGCAGGTGTGGACTTGTGTCATAAGACTGGCTTAGATGAGTCGGTGAGACATGCGTGAGACAATTTAGTCAGCATCATTCGATTTTGGAGCTTGATCCTAACCAGGCACCGTTTCCTCTTTCTCAAATATCTGTTTCATATAGAATACGCTGGAACTGCATATTCAGGCTGTGCATGCAGGTTCTTTGTTTGCAAACAAAAATCAAACCACAAAGTATTTTATTTTTTATTTTACCCCAGTGCAAAAATAAATAAATAAATAAATAATAATAATAATAATAATAATAATAATAATAATAATAATAATAATAATAATAATAATAACTTCTAATTTCCCACCTCAGGAGGAATAATTGTAATTTTGGGTGATTGTGTTCTGACCGCACACTGCGATGTACCTGATCACGCATGTACAACCTGGCCTGGGTGAGTGTGTCAGGAATAAGGAAGTGAAACATGTTCATGTGTAATGGGACACTTCCCTTTATCAGGTCACTAGCACTCGGGGCTCTTAGACATCAGAGGATAAAGGCCTCACAGGGAAGCTGAGGAAACTGGATAATCATTCAAACACACACAAAAAAATCATTTCCTCTTTAGTAATTTCAGCAAAAACAGCAAAATATTGTGACTGAAAACTTGTTCAGTGTTTCTGATAACATATGGATGTGAAATAACTGGCTCTTATGGCAGCAGTGCAGAATGTGAAAACATAGAGCAGCTGCATTTAATTTGAAACCCTTGTTTATGAAGGGGATTTCTGCAGGGAATTCATACTGAAACTTCGATCTTGGTTCACTACTTTTTTAATTGTACTTTCTCAATCTTTACTTCTTCTCAAAGCTCCCCTGCAGTTCCAGTGTATTCTGCATTTACGTGTGACGTGTGCAAACTTGTCGAGCTGGTGTTCCTCAGAAGCAACAGGCGGAGGTGGATGTGTAAAGTGCAGTCACTGGAGAGCCTCGCTCATGCAAACACACACACCAATGTGTTTTTTGGGTGAAAATGAAACTGGGATTAAAATAACTTGTGTGGAATGTTTCACAAGCCTTAAAGACATTTGCCCAACTTCTACACTTCCTGTCACCGTGACTTGCTGTGGAGTTTGTTTTAACTGTTTTCTATAAATCAATGTGTGTGTGTTTGGGGATTTTTATCCAGCTCCAAGAACAAAACAACTTTCCCACTCTGGAATTTTGCTCCAAGATATCTTTTGATAATGAACTTCACATGTCAAGCTGGCCTAAAAAGAACCAGGAAGCTGCTTGTTACTCCGTAACATTAAAACTAAATATTCCCTTGTGCCATGTCATTCCCGGAGGACTAAAATCCAAACTAAACTTTTTTTTGCTTCCATAAACAGAACTTTTTCAAAATGAAAACACAAAAGAGCAGGTTTTGTGGTCAGAAGCTGTGTAACCAGAGCAAAAGCACATTTTAGGGCAGCACAGAGGGAAAAGCTTTGTCTCATCTGCCTCCTACTGTCGTCACCATTGTGTCAAGCAGGGAGAACTGAAGGGGAAATCCCAGCTAAGAAGCTGAAAGTGTATATTTAAACATACAAATGATTAAAAACATTAGATAATGAAAAGGTAAAAACACCAATACAATGCAAAAATATTCAAATGTCCCATTTTTTCTATACTTTGTCTCAAAAGAGCAATAAAGGATTACAAAAAACACGGGCTTCTTGGAAACAGATGATCTAGTAGTTTAAAATGTTACAAATGTGATGCATCACGTCTGCTTTAACAAAACTTTATGAATGATTTGGAACTCTTTGGAACTCTTTGGAACCGGTTTTCATGGTTTCTAAAAATAAAAAGTTTCCTTGCTTCTAAATATACGTTTCTTAACACACTTTAGTATTAAAATATGAGATTTGTACAAAATGAAACTATAAGATGTACAAATTGGAGTGTAATAATTTAAGTGTCTTTTGTGTATTAGTTAAAATATTCTTGTGACCTTTTTACCAACGTATTAGACTTTAGTTAACAAGATTTTAATTTCCTTTTAAAATTTATCTTTAGTCTAATTTTAAATTGATATAAAGCTATAAACTTTAAAGTGAAAAGAAAAAATAATAAACAATTGCAAAGGTATTCCCCTCTGGGTTGCACAAAACAAAAGCAGCTGTTGTCAATACTTGTTTTCTCCACCAGAGGGCAGAAGAGACCAAACTTGGCTCAAAGACGCCAGCACTCCTACTCAGTGACTTCTTCCAGTTGTTTATTACTGCCGGGACTTCCCACTCTCAAATAGTTAGTTTCTCCGACTACTGATGAAGGAAAAATGACAAAAAATGAACTCAAACGTAAACAATTGTATTTAAATGAACAAAACTTAACACTGGTTCTGTAGAGTGGAACTGTCCAGTGCTGTGGTGCTGAAATGCTTCATCTGCGCATCAACGCGTTAGAATCGGGTTATTTGATATCTGGAGAGCAGAAAGTCTAAAATTAAATTATATGTATAAGGGAAATTAGTTAGACTTAGAAATTTAAACGCGATTTGAAACGAATTATAAGATATTTCCCCCAAAAGTGATGTTTTCATGAAGAGTGTCGTTAAAGTTTCATTGCTATGTGCTGTTGGACACGCTTCCAGTTTACTTTTCGGTGTGAGTTTGTAACCTGGATACAGCTGAGAGCTTCCTTGGTATTTGTGATTGTAAAGAGCAGGAGGAGAAGGATGGCTAAAGGGAGACTGATCATTTGAAAACGTGCCAAAAGTACATAGTCGGACTCAAAGAGCGTTTCAAAGACCGTTCTTTTTTTTTTAATTCTTCTTTCTCTCCTGTTTTTGATATTTTTTTTCGCACGGTTGCAGACCGTTTGAATCGACCAATAGGCTTTCAGGTTGGAGACATTGGAATGTAAATGAGCCCAGCGCGTGCTCCCGGCGCAGTGAAAGCTCGGGATTGTTTATTGAGCTCCCCGAGCCACGCGCCTGGCCCGGGGGAGTCGGCGTTCAGAAGAATCACTCAGCGGGGGCGGGGCCTCGCCACGAAGCGTGCGTCTTCCTTGAAAAAAACACGAGGGGGAGTGGGTGGGGTGTGTGCTGGGGCGCGTGTTGAAAAAGCGGAGTGCTGCCAAAGTTTGGGTCAGATCGGCTCGTGGAGTATAAGCAGTTAAGGAGAGAGTTGGACTTTGAGTTGGACACACGGTCCCCACGCGAAGGACACGAGAGCCGAACACTGCCAACTCATTCCTGATCATCAGTCTGGTGGCACCGAGGCTACACTGAGTTCATCAGAGCATTCAGCGAGATGGAAACTGCAACCATCACCACCACGCAGACAGCCTTCACCTTTGCACTAAGTGAAAGACACGCCAGCATCAGTCTGCACGCGCCGGCCCAGGACGCGGCGTCGGTTCATCCAAATGGCAGCGCCGTCGCCTTCCAGAGTAAAAGCAAGGTGCTGAAGAGACAGCGCTCCAACTCGCCAGAGCTGCTGCGCTGCAAGAGGCGCCTGAGCTTCAACGGCCTGGGCTACTCGATCCCCCAGCAGCAACCCGTGGCCGTAGCCAGGCGGAACGAAAGAGAGCGGAACCGGGTCAAACAAGTCAACATGGGTTTCCAGACGCTGCGTCAGCACGTGCCCAACGGCGCCGCCAACAAGAAGATGAGCAAAGTTGAGACTCTCAGGTCTGCGGTGGAGTACATCAGGGCTCTGCAGCAACTTCTGGACGAGCACGACGCTGTTTCAGCCGCATTCCAGTGCGGACTGCCGTCACCAACCCTCTCCAACAGCTACTCCGCCGACCCGGAGTCACCTCACTCCACATACTCATCAGACGAAGGTGGCTACGAGCCTCTGAGCTCGGAGGAGCAGGAACTGTTGGACTTTACCACCTGGTTCGACAGATACTGATGCTGTCAGCGTCCAAAAACACTCTGGCGACTTTAAGAAATGCTGACAAAGTCATCATGGTAACAACAGACCGGAGGGGTTCCCCTCAGTGCGCACAGGCGATTTGTTACCTCAGTCCTCGCTTCTGCAGGAGTGAAGCAATAACAAGACAGCGCGTGAAAGAGGAGCACAGTCCCTAATATGGACGCGGTGACGCGTGGAAGTGAAATGTTGACATTTGATAAGTGCAATTAACTCGAGACGCGGAAGGTTCTCGCAGAGGCGGAGCTGCAGGTCCTGCAGGGATTAGTTTGGGAAGAGTTCCGGGCTTCCCTCCTCACCTGCCGCGTCTGTCGGAAGATGTGACAAAGATGATGCGTTAACAGACTTTTTCTCTTGATGTACATTTCCGCCCCTTTCGTAACAACTTTGTATGTTATTTTAACACAGATGCTTATTTTTGTACAACGAGCCAAACAGAAGTTTTAGAACTGTTTCCTGCCACTTTTCTGACAGTGTTTTGATTCGAGAAGCAGCTGGACAGCGACATCACGGAGACTACCTGTGACCAGATTAGCGTTTCCTCTTCATAGAGACTTTATTATTGATGTATGCACTTGTTCTGATGCTCCCGTAGTCACACAAAAGTGTAAATACTCGATTTTAACAGATATATTTTGTGTAAAACAGCTTTTTATAAATAAAGATTAATCTATTTATATCTTTGCAGTATTTTGGTTCTTCAGCTGCTTTTCTTATGGTCTTTGTTTACGCGTGTGCATGTTTGTGTGTGTGTGTGTGCATGCATGTGTTATTGGTGGCGGTAATTGAGCAAACTAAAGGGAGCTTCTTCTCTTTTCAAAGCCCTCCCTCCCCATGCGTGACCTCTCCCCGACTTGGTTGTGCACACGGGGAAAATTGCGCAGCTGGGTGAGCACTCAATAACCATTATTGACGCGCACCTTCCACTGCGCTTTGTGCGCATTCAGGGCGGGGAGATTAATATTACGTTTCATGAGTTGCATTGTTTCTTTGCACACTCTAAACTAAGAAAAAAGCCCGGAGTGCCCGAGGCAGGGGGATATGGGGAGGGAGGGGATGCAATTCACTTCACTCAAAGGGTATAGACACTTTGAAATATAGCCTGGGGAAAGTCAGAAGGACAATGAGGAGGGTCAACAATTCTTATTGCCCGATTGAGATCAATCTAAATAAAACCCGTGGTTGTAGACTAGTTGTATCCCCGACTGTGTTTTTCATGGCGCACACAGGCCAATCTCCAGCGAAATGGGGAGCATAACACCCCGTTGTGAGCGCTATTGTCGAGGCTTCTGCGCCTCATTATTCGAATTATGGAGAAGCTTCTTTTCTAAATAAACATCAGAAATCAGCGAGGCAGAACGCCTTTTTCTTCACCTGGCACTAAAAACAAGTCCGACTGAACCCGATCCCTTATTGTTGAAGGCTTCAGTAATAGATCAAAACAGGAGGGAAAAAACTTTATTCTTGATCAGAATGATCTAGAATAACACACCTCCCCTCTCCTCCCTCTCACGCGAACAGCCTGCAGGTGTGAGCCACGTGCCTGTGCTGGGTGACAAAAGACGTCGCGCTCCTATTGGTCAACGGCTCGCGCATGTGAGCCCTGTCAGGTGGAGGCGGTGACAACATCAAACAAGTGATAAATGGCATTAATTACCCCCGGAATTATAACCCTTAACGTCACAGAGACTCAAAAGGACGAATCAATGTGAGGCGCAAAAACACCCCGCTGCTCCGTTACATTGTTCAGCTGAAATGCGGGTTTATTCAATGGCAGGCGCAGCGAATAGGCGCAAACTGAAAATACGCACTTGTTCCACGTTCTCAGGGTGGATGTGCAATTTTCTCCCAGAGGAGCTAAGGCGAACATAGATTCCTCCTCCATGTCATGGGTATCTTTATTCTCCATGGGTGGAGGATGTGGGGGTGGGGTTTCATTTTAGCGGAACATCAATCACCTGTAAGTGATCCCTTGATGTTTGCAAAAACCAAGGAAAGGCCAAAGTATTAGAGCCAAGAGGTCATCTGTTGCTCTGAAACCAGTCATCAGATTTCCTCATATGCAATCAAAAGGTCAGGAGCTATTTAACCACATTTAGTTTCAAATATTAAAGTAAAATATTTTAGGAACAAATACTACTGTACAAAGTTCAACCTAAACATTCAGAATCACATCTAAACATTCTAAGTTACAACTGAATATTTAGATTTGAGACTGTTCTAGAATAGCCTGCATCAACATGTCGAAATTTAAACATGAGCTTGATGGTTTAAAATAAAACTAAATAGCAAACATGTACAGCCGAGATTCTTCATAAATGTGGGACAAAGAGATCTCATATCTAACATCTCAGATTGTGTGAAGATGTTCAACCATTTATCAGGAAGAACCCAGAAACAAGAATTCATTGAAACCAAACTGCAGGACTTGGGCACCATGGTGACCAAATTCTTTGGCACTCATGTTAAACTAAGGCGCCTGGCCATATTTTCATTGTATTACCTTTTATTTTAGCCACAGTAGTACACTTACACAGGCTATTTACATGAAAAATACAAACCAGTAACCCAAATGCAGATGAAGAAAACTGGGAAAAGAGCTGACATAAATAAAAAAAACAAAAAATTAGACAAAAAAAAAAAGAATCAAAACAAAGGGAACGGTTAAAAAAGCTGTGCAGCAGGGTTTCACACTGAGTGAAGAAACTAAGGACTATATAAGCAGGGGAGAGCGATCAATAGAATGTTATGATTCTAAAATGATTAACAATCTGAGAGCTGAGGAGAACCAATGACTCGGGCAATTAACCAACAAAAATAAATCCAACAACTAAAGAAGTTCCACAAAGGATTAAGAAAGCTTTTACACAACATTTTTTTTTGCATCAAATAAAAAGATTAAGATCCAGGTCAGGGACAAAGCTCTGCCTCAAGTAGAGACGCTTAAGTATCTCGTGGTCTTGTTCACGAGTGAGGGGAAGATGGAGATTGATTGGCAGTTGGTGTCTGTGTCTGCAGCGGCGCGGGCGTTGTATCGGTCGGTGGCGGTGAAGAGAGAGCTGAGCCAGGAGGCGAAGCTCTCGATTTACCAGTCGATCTACGTTCCAATGGTCACGAGCTTTGGGTAGTGACCAAAAGAGCAGGACTGTGGATGCAGGGTTTCTGGGCTTTCTCTTAGAGTTGGGACGAGAAGCTCGGTCATCCGGGAGGGGCTCTGAATAGACCTGCTGCTCCTCTACATCAAGCGGAGACAGTTGAGGTGGCTCGGACATCTGATTAGGATGCCTCCTGGTCATCTCCCCGGTGAGGTTTCCTGGGCACGTACAGCCAGGAGAAGGCCTAAAGGAAGACTCAGGAAACGCTGGAGGGACTAAGTCTCTCGGCTGGCCAGGGAACGCCTTGGGATAAAAGTCCCAGTTTTCTGTTTTCTTTATTAATTTATTTTCATATTATTTTTACCATTAACTTAATCACATTTGCACATAGCTACACCAAACATAGTGAGCGGAAACCTGTCTTCACATTTTCTATTTTTATAGCCTAATTTGCAATCTCAAACACAAAACTGAACAAAAACATGTCAAATAGTCCTAAAATGGTTTCAATAACTGACACTTTTAAAATTTCCCAATTTGTTTGTGATTTTTACAGGTTATGTGCTTTAAATAGAAATAAAAAAGCCTTCCCATGGAGATCACAGTTGGTGTCTGGCAGATGTGTTGCTAGTCCAACTGAAAACTCTATAAATAATTCTTTTCATGTTGAAAACTAAAAACACAGACCTTTGAGAGGTTTCACGTGTGGATCTGAAAGCTGCAGACAAACGAGGAACGATGGAGAAGAAGTGAATCAGATGCAGATGTTGGTGTAAGATAAGACTGCTCAACCTTGAGCGTTGCTTATAGAGGTGTTAATGTTTCAACAGAGATTACAGGTGAGTTTATGTTTAACACAGACACGAAACATGCTGACCTGGTCCAGAGGAAACCTATCCAACCCCCCTTTAACACCCCCCCACCCAGGGTCCTGCAGCTGGCTCAGAGACACGTTTGTTGAGCCTGCTGAAAGCAGCTGAAAGAGATTTATTTGTCTTTATGCACATTTTTTGTCATTTGCAGCACACGGTGAGCTGAGCTAGCATTTATACACCGACATGCAGCTTGGTGTCGATGCAATAAGGAACATCATGAAGGACTTAGGATGAGTTTATTGGGATTTGGAAAGTTTTTCAAAGCAAATGTATAGAGATTAAACACAAAACAATCAAACTCCAGTGAGTATTGAAAAGCTTTATCTGTCATGTTAAAAACAAAATTCCCCTCTGGCTGATCCTCCAAAGCATGGACGTAATTTTGGGGGGGACAGGGGGGACATGTCCCCCCACTTTTTCCAAAGTCAAGTTTTGACCCCTGCACTTTTTACCATCCAAAAACAATATTACTGTATATTAAATTGACACTGGTTGAGCTCTAGGACCAAGCAGAAAACAACTGTTTGTGTTGAAGCCTGTTTCCCATTAGAGCATACTGTAAAGATCCACCCCCCTCCCCCCACCCCCCCGTGTCCCCCCCACTTCTAAAGTGAAAATTACGTCCATGCTCCAAAGACCCCGCAGGTTTGCTGCTTTTAGTGCTCACGGTGATGCTCACAAGCTGCTCACTTCAGCCAAGACGTGGATTCCTGAAGTGGGAAATAAAATGAAAGACAAGGTTTGAATAAATCCAGGAATAATCCATTCATCCATTTTCATCCACTTATCCAGGGTCGGGTCGTGGGGGCAGCAGCCTACGCAGAGAGGCCCAGACTTCCCTCTCACAGCCACTTGGGCCAGCTCCTCCAGGGAAACCCAAGCCGTTCTTCGACCAGCCGAGAGATGTCCCTGCAGCGTGCCCTGGGTCTTCCTTTAGGTCTCCTCTCGGTTGGACTTGCCTTCACCAGCGAGGCATGCTAACCAGATGCCCGAGGAATCACAGAACAAATGAGAAAATGTTCTTGAGTCTGTCTCATCCTTTCTGTTTCATCACACATATCGTCAGTCAAGAAGTGATGCTTGTTGATGACTAAATGGAAAAGAAGTTTGAGGAATTCTGAAATCTGTGCAAGTTCTGGTTCCTTTGTATTTTCATCCTGTTTTGTAAGTTTGACATTGCTTTTATTAGGGTTCCAAGCCCAAAGGGCAGGGAACCCTATTGTTTTTCTACGGATTTTTCATTATTTTTATTATTCATTATTCTTCTCCGGTAAAAGTGTATGGGCGCAAGAGCCTGAAATTGGCAGGAAAAATCTGACATGGCAGTCTGATAGAAAATCCTGACCGCTACTCAGATTCGAAAATTTGGACCCCGCGTCACCTAGGTGGCGCTATTGCGGAGGTGAACACGTTTCAGCTACTAGCTCCCAAACCGTAGGTCCTACAGTCATATATTTTATATGTACATGATCCTTGGAGAATTCTGCACGTCGTTTGTATTGGCCACGCCCATTTCCGCCTAACTAGGTTTTTTGCTAGATCACAAAAAACGCAAAACTTACTTTTACTCACCTATTCGTCATTTTTCGTCGAATCAACTTCAAACTTCGTACATGTGATCTATGGACTAAGGTAAGTTGTTGTGATGAAGAAAAATGCAGAAATATTGAAAATTGGGCTAATGACACCATGTCAAAATCAGTGTGC